GCCTGGCTCCTTCCCTCCGGTTTCACGTCCGCGCCCTGGTCGCCTCCCTCCCTCCGAGCCGGCCTCCCGCGGTTCCCATGGCAACCCGGCGAGCCGCCAGCCGGCCGCGGCGTGCGTCACTTCCGGTGCGCGCACTTCCGGCCCCCAGCCCATCGCGACGGCGGCCCTTCCGGCGGCGAAGCGGCTTTCCCGGCCTTCCCCGCCGGCCACTCGGCCTCCGGCGTCTCCCTCCGGCGCCGCCCCCGGCGTTCTGGGATTCGGCCTTTCCGCCGCCCCACCCGGCTCGCCGCGCGGGGCCCGGCCTCCGCCCTAGGCCCGCCCCCCGGGCGTCACTTCCGGGCCGAGTGCTTCCGGGTCGCGGCTGACCCCCGGGTACTGGTCTGGGTCCCCCGCAGCCGGCCGGAGCGGCGAGAGCCCAGCCGGGCCCGGCTCGGCTCCGGCGGCGGCCGCGGCTCGTGCTTCGTGCGCTCGGCGGCCGCGCCGGGGTGAGTGCGGGCGGCCGCGGGCGGAAGCGGCCTCCGGGGCCCCCCGGGCGGAGGGCGGGGCGGGAGCGGGACCCCCCGGGCGGGCCGCGGGCACCCCGCGCCGTGCCCAGCGCCCCGCCCGCCGGGACCAGCGTTGCGGGCTCCTGGGCCCGGCCCGGGCCGGCCTGGGCCTGGGCCTGGGCCCCTCCTCGGCCAGGCTGAGGGTCCTCCATCCCCCCTCCCCGCCGACCCCGCGCCGGGGGTCCCGGGCCGAGCGTGACCTTGGTCGGGTCGCTCCGGCTCCCGGGCCGCCGTGGCCCGCCGCCTGCGGGGGGCGTGCACCCTCCGGGCCGCCCGCCCTTCCTCCTCCCCGTCGCGTCCCGTCCCGTCCCGGGGGCCGGGGTTGGGTTTTTTCCCGACCCAGGCGCCCTCCCGGCGGCTCCCGCCCCTCCTCCCTGCTCAGGTTTCTTTCCGGGGGTCCGGGACGTCGCCGCAGCCCGCTGGGGCCGTGGGGGACCCTCGGGTGGGTTTTGCAGCCGTGCGCGGTGCTCGCGAGCCTTGCACCTTGCAAAGTGGGTGCTGCAGCCTTGCTCGGTGCTGGCGAGCCTTGCACCTTGCGAGGAGCCGGACCGCCCCGCCCCGCCCCTCCCCTCTCCTCGCCTCTGCTCACCGGGCCAGGTGAGCCTGGAACCTTCGGACCCGGGCAGTGCCGGGACCGAAATAGCGCCTTCCTGTGCAGGGAGGGGGTGGGGGGCGCCTTCCCAGGCGGCCGCGCGGGGCGGGGTGCGTTTTCTGCCTGAAGGGGCCAGCTGAGCTCTCGCCAAAGCTTTGCTTGCTACCTAGAATCATTTCATTTCCACTCGGGGATTTTAAATAGATCTGGCTTTCCTTTGCCGTGTTTAAAAATAATCAGTAAAGAGAAAAAAAAAGTCCCCCCGGCCTGCCGGATATCTGGGGGACACTGAATTGCTTTTCAGTCCCCCACCCCACGGCCCCCCTCCTATTGTGGGTGAGGGAAATGGTGACAGGGAGCACTGGGCGTTGACATGACTCTTAGGGATGTTCATTCACAGCGCCCTCCCCTCCCCCCTTGCACTGGCACATCTCCGAGTCCCCACCCGTGGTTTGCTTGGAGGCATGAGCGCTGTCACCGCGCTGTCTGGGTCCCCTGGAACCGCGCTGGTTTTAGTTTTTCCCTGCAGTCCCAGGGAGCCTGTTTGTGTTTTGTCGTTCTTGCGGGGCGCCGGGGAGGCACTGCGGGCTCTGTTCAGAAGAGACCCCGGCTCAAAGCTCCCTGGATCCCCAGAAAAGACTCAACGCGGATGATGTCAGCTGCCCGCCACTGGCCATCCTGGGCCGGCCTCTCCCCAGGCCCTGGGGCTGACATCATTCCCAGATCTGTGGGTGTGCGGGAGACGGGACTTCTGCCACCGTAGGAATTTGGGGGTCTCGGCTCGCCCTGCCCACCCTGGAGCCTGGTCCGACCCTGGCTGCGGGCTCGCCTGGCTTCCGAGCAGTGTGGCTCTGGGGCTGGAGTCGGGGTTTTTGCATAAGCTCTCAGTTCCTGTCTTAGACCGACTTTTTCTTAGCCTTGTGATTTGAGAGCGGGGGACTTGGGCTAACTGAACCCCGGTTTCGTGTTCGGCTTTATTTCCTGGGTTTGGTTGGGGGACAGTGCTCAGTGGTTGGGAGACCTTGTCCCCCCGGGGTGCGCCCAGGCCCGGGAGGCAGCTCCGAGGCCTTCGTTCCCTCCTTCCCCGGGGCTCTGGGCGGGTGGCCCTCTCAGCCCCCAGCCCTGCTTTCTCCCCGCCGAGAGGTTCTAGTCTTGTGGCGCTCAGTGGGGGAGTCAGAGCACGGCCGGTCACCTGCCGGCTGGGCGTCAGATGGCAGCTCTGACCTGGCAGGCTTGGCGGGGCAGGTGGTGTCCTGGCCGGGCCTTGGTTTCCGGAGGCAGTGGGGGAGAGGGAGCGGGATGGTGGCCGTCGCGGGGGAGGCCTGTCCCACGAACCCTGGGTTTCCATCTCCTTCACTTCTGCCCCGCTTGGTCCAGGCTCCCTGCCGAGGTCCCCCGCCCCGAGGCCTCATCGGTTGTTTTGCAATGAGCGTGGCCCAGGTGCCGTTGCAGACCTGTGGATGCCGCGGGGTCCGACTGCAGGAGAGGCTTCGCCTTGGGGCGCCAGGCCCGTCTCCTCGGGGAACAATCCAGTTCTTCCTGGCCCAGTTCAGGAGTGACCTGGGCGGTGCCGGGCTCCTGTCCCAGCTCTCGTTCACCTGCTGCCCCCTCACCCCACAGCAACCCCGCGGAAGATGGGGTCAGGCTGGGAGTCACGCCCCTCCCTCCCCGGGCCACTTAGAGTGCGGCAGTGTGATGCCACGCCTCTGGGCCTCACGGTCTCTCCCATCTCTCTGCCCTCGGCCCTTCTGTGCCTGCAGGCCTGGGGAGAAGCAGGTGAGGCCCTCTGAGTGCTCACGCGTCAGTGCTCACATAGCACCCTGGGGAGTAGACTGTGCCTGGCGCGCACCCAGAGTCACTTGTCCTGGGGGAGGGGACCAGCAAGGAGGGTGGGTGGGTCTGAGGGGGTGGGGCCAGGGGCCTGAGGTGGCAGGGGCAGAGGGGACTCTGGCTGTGGGGAGCTGCCGCCGCCAAGGGGGGCTTTGACTCAGAGGGGGGATGTGACTGTAAGGGGAGCTGGTCTGGGGGGCGTCTCGGCGTGTTCATTCCTGAGGTGTGGAGTCCCCGCAGGCTCGGAGAGACCCACGTGGCGTCTGGACCCCTGCACACCCCCGAGCGGCCCCAGGACGTGCTCTGCAGAGCGTCCCAGCCGGAGCAGCGGTGCCCCTGTGCCCACCTGCCCCGTCACCACTGTCCCCCAGTCCTGCCTCCCCCCACTTCCCTGGCCCGAGCCCCCGAATCCTGACTTGCCCCCCGACCCGTGGTTTTGAGTGCCTTGCCCCTGTGCTGGGTGCATTGAGGCGGGTGCTGTTCAGTGGTGTCCTGTGGGCCATGTGGTGCCAGGGTCAGCCGTGGCGCCTCCTGCTGCCGGGCACGTGCATTTGCCCCGGAATGGTCCCCGTAAACGGCAGATATGGTCCTGTCACTCTCCGCGGGCTCCCGGTGCTCTGGTGCCTCCCAGGGGTGCTTGGATTCAGACCTGGGGCCTCACCCAGGGGTGCTGCTCTCGCGGCGGCCCGTCTGGGAGCCCCCGTGAGCTCCACGCCGTTGTCCTCGTGTCAGGCTCCTTCCTGCCCGGAAAGCAGGAACCAGCCGGCTGGGACGAGCTCAGCTCTGCCTCGAGGTCGTTGTCTTGTAACTTGGGCCCATCCCAGGTGTGTGTTGGTGTGTCCCTGGGGTCCCTGTTCCCGACTGTATGGGGAGGTGGGAGCCCCCCCCCCCCCCCCGCCTTCGGCTCCATCTTTGCCTGCAGATGTGACCGCAGCTGCTTGGGGTGGGAGTGAGGACACTTTCCTTCTTTCCTTTTCTTTCTTTCCCTTTTCTTTTTAATTCTTTTACTTTATAAGTTCACAATACTTGATTACATTTAATATTCAAACACCAATCCCAGCACCATGACACCTTCCCACCACCCAATTCGGCCTGTATTTTGTCTCGTCTGTCATACAGAACTGCTGAACGCGCTGACAAAGAAGTGTCCGTATAGGAAACAGTGTGAAGATTGTTCTGTTTTGGCAGGAGCCAAAACATTCTATTAGATATCACTAAATGTCGTCAAAGTTTGGGTGATGTGAGCTTTAGAGTATATATCTGAAAATATGTATATATATATATATTTCCCTCTATGATTGGTCTCCTGTCTGAACCCCATCAAATATGGTGTGGTAATTATGGAGAGTGGGTAGGGCGTGTCTCACGATGTGTCATGCGGCCGCGTGGTCCAGGAACATGTTCACTCCTATGTGAGGCTCGGCCGAGCCGGTGGGGCCTGGTGCGTGGCGGCGGTTGGGTAGTGGAGGTCGGCTCCCGGGGTGGGGAGGGCTCTCACCCGCCCCCCTCTAGGGTACCCCTAGTGAAATGGGGACCTCATTTTTTGCTCCCTTCTGGGAGAAGCCTTCTTGTTTTTTAGTTGTTTTTTTTTCCTTGGGGGTCCACAGCAGGCAGTGATTGAGCTGGGGTCCTCTCTTGTCTGAGACGCGTCCCAGTGCTTGAGCTGCGGCCGGCCCTGGGGACTTTCTGGAATGGCCTGAATGAGACTCTTCATTAGCTCAGTGGGTCTATTTTTTTTTTTTTTTTGAGGGATGGAATGTGTCACACCCAGTAGTGCTCAGGGGTCACTCCTGGCGGGGATCGAACCCGCTGTCCTCCTGTCTGTCCTTTCTAAGTCTGTCTTGGCCCTGCACTCTTGCACGAGGGCCGCAGAGAGTGATGGGGTGGGCAAGGAGGCCCCCCCCACCCCCGGCTGGTGGTGCCCGGGGTCCCTCGGGCCACGTCCAGCGTCTGCCTTGCCTCCGCAGCCGCCGCCCGTCCGAGGAGCGATGAGGATGCCGGCGCCGCGCGTCCTGCGCTCCCTGCAGGCGGACGGCGTGGCCGCGCGTCTCCCCCTGTGCCCGGCTGGTGCCCCGCAGCCACGGAGGAGATGAGGTAGCCGCCGCGCCGGCCCATGGGGAAGCCCAGTTCAATGGATGCCAAGTACCGGGACGACTTATTCCGGAAGTACGTCCAGTTCCATGAGGGCCGGGTGGAGCCCAGCGCCGGCAGGCCGCGGCCGGGCAGCGAGGAGCAGCTGGGGGCCGCCGCCGCCGCCCTGCTCAGCCTGCCCCAGGGGGACCCGGCGGACCGGTTCCGGCTGCTCCCCTTCTACGAGGTGGTGGAGAGCTCCCTGCGCGCCGTCCGCTCGTCCAGCCTGCGGGCCCTGCACTGCGCCTTCGGCCTGCTGGAGACGGTGGGCACCAACCTCTTCCTGCACCCCTGGAAGAAGGAGTTCCGGAGCATCAAGGTGAGCCCGGCGCCAGGCAGCAGGGAAGGGGAGGCTCCGGAGGGGCCGTGGTGGGGAGTAGCTGGGACAGGGGGTGGGCGGGGCGCGGCCGCCTGGATGTCCTCGTGGGGAGGCGGGTGGGGACAGTCGGCGGGAGCGGGTCACTGGAGTCTGGCCGGTGGCAGCGGGTGTGCAGGAGAATCCCCGCCGAGTCAGGCTTCCGTGGCAGGCTTGGGCTTGAACCCAAGGTCTTGTGTGTGGCACGTTCGGGTCCGGCTGTTAGCTGTGTGACGGACTCTTGGGGCCTTCGAGGAAGGGGCAGGAAGGGAAGGCAGCCCCTTCCGGTCTGGGGCTCAGCCCCGGGCAGCAGAGACAGTGACGGTGTCCCGGGAGCCTCCACGGCAGACCCGGGGCCGGCAGGGGTGGGTCGCGTGTGCGCATGCAAAGAAGGCAGGTCTGCAAGGCGGGCAGTGGCTTGGGGGTCCCTGCCGTGGCCCCACGCACCGCCAGCTTTGTTTAGTTTCAGTTTTTTTGTCTTTGGGTCGGGCCCTGCGGGGCTGGGGCTCTACTCCTTCCTGGTGGGCCCCACTAGCTCGAGCACCGCGGACCCCTCCTGGGCTGAGCCCCGGGCACCGAGCACTGCCGAGCGGAGCTCGTGAAGGGAAGCTGGGTCTGCGTTTCCGCCCTCCCGTGCCCTGCCCCCTCCCGGCGGGCCCCCCGCTCCGCGCAGGCCGCGGTGGTGCTGGGGGGCGAGGGAAGAGCCACGCCTCCGCTGCCCCTTCCTTGCAGACCTACACGGGCCCCTTCGTCTACGGCGTCCGCGCGGCGCTGCTGGAGGCCGACGTCCGCGCCATCCTGGGCCACCTGGGCTACGTGCCCGAGCCGGGCGCTGCCTACCGGCTGGCCGAGCCGGCGGGCGCGCTGCAGCTGAAGACGGTGGCCTTCGAGCTCTTCCTGGCCCGGGTGGAGTGCGAGCAGCTGCTGGAGATCCACGCGCAGGTCCGGGACAAGGGCTACTCGGAGCTGGACGTGGTCAGCGAGCGCCGGAGCAGCGCCGAGGACGCGCGCGGCTGCGCCGACGCGCTGCGGCGCCGGGCCGAGGGCCGGGACCACCTGTCGGCGTCCATGGCCCGCGTGGCGCTGCAGAAGTCGGCCAGCGAGCGGGCGGCCAAGGACTACTACAAGCCGCGGGTGACCAAGGCCTCGCGCTCGGTGGACGCCCCCGACGGCCGCTGGGAGGGCCGGAAGCCGCCGCTGCGGGCCTCGCTGAGCCTGCGCAAGGAGCCGGGGGCCGCCGAGCCGGGGGACGCGCTGCGGGACGAGGTCCTGCGGCCGCCGCCCTCGCTGCTGGCCCTGGCCGGCGCCCCGCCCCGCGGCCCCGACGACCCCCGGGCCCCCGCCCCCGGCAGCGGCGGGCTGGGCCTGCTGCGCGCCTCCTACCTGGCGGCGGCGGCGGCGCAGGACGACCTGGACCTGTACACGGACGCGGAGCCGCGCGCGGCCGCCCGGCGCCAGCTGGACAGCGCGCGGCCGGCCGTGTGGCTGGTGCGGGGCGAGGCCCACCCGCTGTGCCACAAGCGCGCGCCCGAGCCGGCCCTGGCCAAGTGCCCGCACTGCGGTGTGCCCGCCTGCCTGCGCTGCGACGGGCCCGGGCCCCCCGCCAAGCCCGGCGCCTTCCCCGGCAAGGCGGCCGCCGCCGCGCAGGACGGCCCGGCCCCGGGCCCCGGCCCCCGGGACAAGTACGCGGCCCCCGAGCGCGAGCGGCCGCCGCCGGCCCACGCCAAGGCCAAGGCCGCCGCCGCCGCCCGCTGCGGCTTCTGCAACCGCCCGGGCGCCACCCACACCTGCACGCAGTGCTCCAAGGTCTCCTGCGCCTCCTGCCTCAGCGCCTACCACTACGACCCCTGCTGCAAGAGCGGCCTGCACGCCTTCCTGCCCCACCACCAGCTCGACTACAAGGCCCCGGCCTGCGCCCACCTCGTGTACAGATAGACGCGCCGCCGCCTCCGCGCCAAGGGCTACCCACCCCCCTCCCCGCTCCCCGGCAGCTCCGGGGCGCCGCTGCACGGCGGGGGGTTCGCTCAGAGCCGGGCACGGCGGGGTGGGGCGGGTGGGGGGCGCTTCTCGTCCTTCCCAGTCTCGCCGCCCTCCCCCTGCTCCTGGGGTTCTTGGCTCTGGCTTTGGGAGAGGCTTGCGGGGTGGGGGGGTGCTCCCTCGCTTCATTCCTCCCCACCCCACCCCCCCACAAACACACACACAGCCCCCGTGTCACCTCCCGACGTGTCCCTGCAGCGGGAGTGGAGGCCTGTGGGCGTGTGAACTGAGCCCTCCTGCCCCCCAGCTCCCTCCAGCCTCCCCACCCACCCCCCAGGTTTGCAGGTGACCCCGGCGGCAGCTCAGCCTGACCGGGGCACGCCGGGCCCAGTCGGGCTCTCCGGCCCTCTTGTTGTTTGCACACGCCCTCTTACTGTACTGTAAATAGATATTTTTGAGATTTATTTTTAAATAAATATTCAACTTGCCATGCGTGTCCAGGTGGTGGAAGGTGGTTCCGTGGCTGTCCCCACAGCGCCCACTTCAGTCTCCCCGGGCTCCCGGCCCTGCCCCTCCCCGCAGCGGGCGGAGGACAGAGACCCCGGCTCTCCCGACACCTACCTCCAGCTGCACGCGGCTGTCGGCGTGGGCCGAGGGTCCGGGACCCTCTCCCGCCCCTCCACTCCGCTTCTCGGGTCTCAGGCCGGAGGAAAAGCACGTGGGCTCCCGGCCGCCCTGACGGTCCCTCCCCCCCACCCCCTGCAGCCTCTGAGCGCCCTTTGCACTAGCTCGGGCGGGGACCCAGCCGCAGCCTCTCCTGGGGCCCGAGCTGTTCCACGCCCAAAGGCCCCTCGCTCTCGGGAGAGCAAGACTGGGCTCTGGTGCTCCCTCTGGGGTGCAGAGCCAGGAGGGGGCAAGAAGACGGAGGGAAACCGTGTCCTTATGGATTAATAATGTACTGCAGCCATAAACGGGATGACGGGCCGGCTGGCGGAGGGGTCGCCAGCCAGGGGGTTTCCGGCAGAGGGAAGCCTGGGTTCCTGAGCCGATGGAAATGGGGCTGAATTCTGAGGCCACTGTGAATTTGCCGATGTTCTTCCAACTCCACCGAGTGACTTTTAAGCGTTTTCAACCTTCTCTGGCTCTTTTTTGATACCCACCAAGCAGAGCACATAGACACTCCGTGTACAGACTGAGCTGAATGTCCGCGGCTCCCTCGGGCTGCCCGTGTCCGTGTCCTTCCCGTGTGTCCATGCCCGCCCAGAGCGCGAGCTCTAGTTTTCTAGTTTTCCATTTCCGGGTCGCTCTGCACTACAGTAACAAACCTTTCAGCCAACCCTGATGCCACGTAACTTAGACCGCAGACCCGGCAGGACGGCCGGCTCGGCCTGGGGGCCGCTCGGGAGCCTCTTCCCCCGTACTGGATCCGGAAACGCGTCCCCTGTACCAGGTGTCTGTGATGGGGAGTGTTAAATAGATGCTAATTTAAAAATGCAGCTGTTTTGCATTAACTTTATACCGAGAGTTGAAATGTTGAGAGTCGATTTCAAATAATAAAGCGTCTTCCATTATTAAACGAGGCGTTTGGGTTGTATGTCTGGGGCCGCCCTCACCGTCGGACTTGGGTGCAGGCAGAGGTCAGCGCCCCCTCTGCACAGCTGGCCCGAGGGAAGGTGGAGGGGGCCCAGGGCTTGAGGAGTGACCCCCAGCAACACGGCAGTTGCTCTCAGGAGGCTCAGCCCAGCTCCAGGAATGTCCAGCAGCATCTAGCCGTGGTCAGCCGGTCTCTCCCTGCCCCCCTGCACCCAGCCTTCATGCTCTCAGCAGGGACAGCCCCCTTTCCCAGTCCCGTGCGAGGGTCCCAGAATCTGCACTGAGGGCCCATGGGAGTCAACTTAGAGCTGCGGGTGGGTCCAGTCTTCCCGGGGCCCTGCCGTCCCCCCACCCCTGTTCACTCGCCTCCCCGCTCAATGTATCCATCGAGGAAACCATTTCTGCTCTTTCCCTGCTGGATCCTGCGTCTGGGCCTCTGCCCGCACTGAGCCGGGCGCCGGCTCCTCTTCCAACGCTTCTGCTTCCGGCACGTGCTAGAGATACGTGCAGGGTGCCCGGGAAGAGAGAGGGAATGCAGACGCAGGGGAAGAGCCAGTCCTCGGTGGGCCTCAGTGCCAGGCCCCCCTGGGGTCTCAGGCACACGAGGCCCAGAGCCTGGGCCGCGTCCTGGAGTTAGGGGAGCCTGGCGGGGCCAGCTCTGCCTCCGGGCCACAGCTGTCCTCGAAGGCCGGGTTCCTGGGCCACCAGCACAGCCCTGGCCTTCCCAGAGGCCTCCGGCTCCTGTGGCCAAAGGGAGGGACTGCTCCCTGCCCAGGGACAGCCCCTCCCGGTGAGGGGCGGGGGGCTTGGCCGTGGGGACAGTGGCCCGGGCCCTGACCCTGCCTCTGCTTTAGTGTCTGGTTCTTGGGGTCACACCTGGCGTGCTTCTGGGACGACCCCAACCTCGGGAACAGGCCGCTCCTGCCGGGGTGGCCCTCAGGCCTCTGCGCTCTCTCCAGCCCCACAGAGGAGACTACAGAGGCCGAGCCGTCCATGTTCAGGCCTCTCGCTACCTTGGTCGCTGTCTTTTACCCCTGGCTCAGCGCTTGGGCTGTTCTCCTGGGCGGCTGTGACGAGGAGTGTGTGTCTCCGATTTCCCTTTGTTGCCATGACACAGGAGAGGGTGCGGCCCGGCCAGTGCCCCCCTGGGTGTGCCAGGATGACCGAGGCCAGGCCGGGGCCTGCCTGCTGGGCACCTCCGCCGCCTCCTCGACTGGTGACGGCCCTGAGCGGGGAGAGCTGCGTTCTCCAGGGAGGCGCCCAGGACACACTCCCGCTGCTTCTGCATCCAGGGGTGTTGTCCCCTGCGGGGCCGCTGCGAGTAAAGGTCGGGCCCCACCTCCCACCCCACCAGAGGATGGGCTGAGCTGAGCTCAGGGGAGGCAGGTCCAGCGCTAGTCAGCCCCAGCAGCAGCGTGTGTGTGTATGGGGCAGGAAGCCCACTGTCCTACCCAGGGGAGCTGGGGGGTGACACAGACCTGGGCCTCAGCAAAGTCCCGAAAGCACACTCGGACCGCCAGAGTCAGCAGCATTCGATTTTATTTCTAGTCACGTCTGCAGCCCTTGTGCAACTGTGGAGTGCAGTGGGGTGAAGCAGGGTCCCCGCGCAGCAGTGACTGTCCCCCCTCCCCCCGTGACCCAGGAGGAACGGCCAGTTAGCTCCCAGGAGCCCATGGGAGGACTGCAGTGTGAGCAAGACCCTCCTGGGAGTCTTGAGAGTGGGGGTTAAAAGCCAGGGCAGGCCGGAACTCAGAGGCAGGTCACCGCCATGAACAGGTGCGGTGGGGCCCACCTGCAGGAACAGGCGAGCCCTGAAGCCCACCTGGGCTGTGGCCTGGGTCCCCGAGGCCAGCGCTGGCCATCTGTGTGCCCGTCCACTCAGGGCGAGGGGGCTTTCTGTGGAGCATCACCCCTGGGGCGCCCAGGGGCGACTCCCAGCTGGTGCCAGGGATGGAACCAGCACCTTGGTGCACACAGCCTCGCTGCGGCCCTTTGGGGTGCCCTCCGGCCGCACCCAAAACCTTGGTGCGGGGTGGGGGGGGCAGAATCTGTTCTCTGGAATGGGCCAGGAAGAAAGTGGCACGGCCCAGATGGCAGAGCGGGCAGGGGTGCCGCCTGACCATGAAAAATCCCCCCACCCATGAAAAATGCAGGAGCTGAGGTGCAGGCCGGGCTGCTGGCTCTCCTGACGCTTCCCTTGGACACTCTCTCCCCGGGGACACGTCGTGGGCTCTGGGGCCAGGTTCCAGGTCAGACAACTTCAGGACTCTGCCTGCGGGGTGTGGAACGTGCCTGGGGAGGGCAGGTGCTGTGCCCTCGGGCAGGGGGAGTCCTAGCGGCAAGCGGTGGCTCTCCCTGCCTGGAGTTCCCCTTCGACTGAAGGCCAAAAGCACCCCAGGTGGGCCTGCTCCCAGGAGGGTGGTCACGCCACAGGGTGCCAGGCCAGCCCTGATGACTCAGGAGAGACGCCCCCCTTGCCAGTCCCTGGCCCCAGCGGGGGGAGGGAGCCCAGAAAGGTCGGTGCCTGACCCCACCAGAAGGCCTCGCACCCTGAGCTCTCCCCCTCCCCCCGTTTGTGTCCTTGGGGGGGTCCACCACTGCAGGACTGCAGAAGGCACGCGGCGACCCCAGAGAAGAGGCCCGGGTCCCAGGGCCTGCTGGGGAAGGCCTGCTGCCCACCCGGCTCACTGCTCTCCTGCTCGGCTCTGGGGCCCCGCGCAGGGGCCTCTGCTCTCTTCCCGATGCCCATCGCCCACCCTCCGTCCCCTCCCGAGATGAGCCCGTCATCCGTCATCCCCATGCTAAGCCGGGAGACAGCGAGTCAGTCCAGCGGCAGCTGCCGCCCTCCAGTTCCCAAGAGGAGCAGACGGGGCCAGCAGGGGGCAGCAGAGGCCCAGGCACGGCGGCGGCAGGAGGGTCCCTCGGCCGGCTCGGCGCCGAGGGGCGAGCAGGACGGGGCTGGCATCACTTCTCCAACCGTGCGGGTCCCGAAGGCTCAGACTGCAGGCGGGGGCGGGTCAGGGCTCGCGGGGCAGAATCCACTTCCGGCCCCCAGGACCTTCGGCTGCACGCGGGCAGGGCGGTCTGGCATGGACCCGGCTGGCAGCTGGTGCCCAATCCGGGTGTGCTCGCAGGGCTGAGGCTGCCAACGGCCGTGCGGGGGTGCATGGCGCCCACCAGGGGCTGCAAAAGCCAGCGACTCTGTTTCCTGTGGACAGGATTCCTGAGGGGGCCTGGGGCTGGGCCCAGGAGTGCACACGTGTATGCACGTGCATGTGTGTGTATGTGCATGTGTGCGTGCGTGCGTGCGTGTGTGTCTGGAGCCACGGAGTGAAGGAGTGTGCCTGTGTGTGAGTTGTGTGCCTGCCTGGAGCTGGCCCTGGGGTAGACAGTGTGTGAGGTTCTGGCGCGGCTGGGCCCCTGCCCAGGGCTCTGTGGGGGCCTCAGCAGTGAACGGGGCCAGTTTGCAGGGCCGGGGCAGTGGGTGACTGGGGGCGCCCTCAGAGGCCCCCAGGAACGGGCATCCAGGGCCAGCCAGGCGAGGGCGTTCGTCAAAGTGCACGGATTTCAATGGGACTCAGACAGCAGTGAGGGCCGGAGGGTCACATGCACCCTGGGCCTCAGGGCCCTCCGGCGGGCTCAGCCCACTGCCTCACCCCTCAGATCAGGGAGGCAGTTTCGGCAGCTGGAGGCAGGGTGGCCCCTTGTGTAAACATTCAGCCCATCCGGGAAGGGGAGGGCAGGGCAGGGCAGTGTGGGGGGGGCGCCCCGCCCCACCAGACCTGGCATCTCCCCGGCAGGGTGGGTGGGTGGCGGGGGCAGGAGCACCGGCTCACAGCCTGCACGGCTGTGGCCGAAGACACTCGCTTCCGGCTCTCGGTGACCGAGTGGGTGGCACCCACGTCACAGCAGCTCTTGCTCCTCGTCCTCGGAGCCCGAGGGGCCCTGGCGCACCTCCTCGTACCACTTGTTGGTGAGGGTCTTCATCTGGATGCGCCCGTGGTGCAGGTCCTGGCCGGGGACAGCGACCCACGTCAGGAGGCCCAGCCGGGGACGGGGCGAGACGGGGGCGTGGGGTCAGGGTCAGGGGTGAGATGGGGGCGTGGGGTCAGTGTTCCAGGGGCAGGGTTGGAGACAGGTCTGGGTGGGGGCCGGGCTCAGGCCGGGTCAGGGTCGGGGGTGAGATCAGTACTGGGGTCCAAGTGGGTGGCCTCAGTGTCCCCGAGGCCAGTGGGGCTAGAGAGGAGAGGGCCCCCCTTCCTGTCCTGAAACCCCTCCGCGGAGGCCGACTCTCATCCAGGAGCCGCTGTGCCCCACGGCAGCTGCTGTGCAAAAAAGGGGCCGCCCCGCGCCCACCCGGCCCCCCCAGCCGCCCCGTGCCCGCAGGAGGCAGTGGGGAGCCCGCACCTCCTGGGTGAGGCGCCGAGTGAAGAAGGGGTTCAGGTACTTGGCGTCCAGCCACACGAAGCCCTTGAGGTCCTGCCGCCGCACGTAGTGGGCCTCGTACTCCTCCTCCGTGAGCTCCGACAGGTGCTCCGACTCCACCGTGTTGCCCTGCACGATGAGGGGCAGAGGCCGTCATCCTTCCGGGGCCTCCCCTGGCCGACGGACTGACGAGCAGCTCTGTGCTGTGCCACCCCCCTCACTCCCGTGAATATCCTCTGCGGGAGGCGGCGGGGAGGCCCCGGCCTCAGAAGTGGGGGCCTGCTGGTGCAGGGGTCAAACCCAGGGCCTCGGCCCCTGAGCCCGGCTCTGGTTCCAGGCCCCAACTTCCGGGATCCTGAGGGCGGGCTGTGGGCACTCGCAGAGGCTCTCAGCCCTGGGAACCCACATTCCGACACATTTCCAGGCCCCTGCGTGGGCACCCCCGCACCCCGGTGCGGTACCTGCCCAAGGGGGCTCAGGAGAGCTTCACCCCTGCAGGCCTCAGGCACCAGCGGGAAACATCCCCACAGATGCTCAGCCTCTGGGCAATCGCCGCAGCCTCATTTGGGCCCCACCCCAGTGCCAGGGTGCAGCTGTCCTAGAGCGGGAGGAACTGGCCAGACGCTGCCCGGGGGGTTGGGGGGGGCGTGGGAGGGGGTGGTGTCCTCCTGGTGGCGGAGGGACGGGTCACCCAGAAACCGTGTCCCGCCCCTTCTGCTAGGGCCGCCCAGTGAGGGCAGGGACAGGCTGCTGAGGGCCAGGGAGGGCACCGTGACCACTGACCAGGGGGCCTGGGGCCTCAGCTGTCCTCTAAGAAGCCACGGTGCGTGCCAGCCCCCCACTCCGGCCCTCGACGGGAAGCTTCTAGAAACCCGGGGGGGGGGGTGCCCTCTGGGGTAGAACTTCCGGTGGGGGGAGGGGCGGGGGCGGGGCGGCCCACCCGGAGCGGCGCTCACCATCTTCTCGGTCTTGCTGAGGTTGACGTCCTTCCTGCTGCGGCGCCGCGCCCGGGCGTCCTCGATGTCCACCAGGCGGATGAGCGGCATGGTGCCCCCGCCCAGCAGCAGGATGGTGAAGAGGACGATGACGATGGTCGTGGTGCCGATGAGCTGCCGCTTCTCCATGGGCTCCAGGTCCAGGTGCAGGCTCAGCGCGTAGGGGATGGCGCCCCGCAGGCCTGGGGGAGTGCGGGTGACGCCGGGCTTAGACCCCGCAGGCCTGGGGTCGGTCGGGGGAGCAGGGTGGACCTTGGCCCCCCGGCCCCCGCAGGCCAGGCCCGGGCGGAACTGAGTGGCGGCTGGCGGGGTGGTCTCCGGGTCCCTCTCGAGCCCCCACAGCACTGGATGCACGTGTCACCGGGCACCCTGCCTTGCTCAGGGAGGCTCGGGCGGGGCAAGGGGGCCTGGGGCCACATCATCAGGGCCCCTGGCGTCGGTTGCCCCCAGGCGCAGGGCTGAGCTGGGGGTCCAGCGCTGGCCGCGGGGGACCCTGTGACGCCAGCTCCTGCAGTCTCCCCCGGGGGAGGGCGCTGGCTCCGTGTCCCTTGCGACTTTGGGGAGGCGGCAGGGAGACGCTGGGCTTCAGGGGAGACGGGACACGGGAGGCCGAGCTCGGAGGGAAGGAGCTGGGGCCACAGCCCGGGGAGCCACGTGAGAAGGAGGAGGAGCAGAAATGGGCCCCGGCCCTGGGGCGGCCAGTACTGGGGGGTCAGCGAGGGACCCAGGACTGTGGCTCGGGGCAGGTGTGGGGAGAGGGAGGAAGAACCCGGAGGTGGGCGGTGAGACCCGGCCCGGCCCCGCCCACAGCTCTAAAGGGCGCGTCCAACCCAGCCCCCAGAATCAGTGCAGAGCCAGGAGTAACCCCTGTGCATGGACGGGTGCGCTGCCCTAGACCCACCCCCAGGAACCCTCTGGCCACAGGGTTTCAGTAACAACACCAAGAGTCCAGCAGAGGGGCCGGAGCAATAGCACAGCGGGGAGGGCGTTTGCCTTGCACGCGGCCGACTTGGGTTCAATCCCCAGCATCCCATATGGTCCCCCAAGTAGAGCCAGGAATAAGAATAACTCCTGAGCATTGCCAGGTGTGACCCAAAAAAAAAAGCAAAAAAAAAAAAGAGTCCAGCGGAGAGCCTGGTGGGGAGCGAGGCGGGGCCCACGTCGGCTCCGTGCCAAGCCCCGCGGCTGTTCCATGTGGCCCCACACATCAGTCCGTGTGCTCGGGAGTGACTCCCACCTGTGTGCTCCGCCTGCCCGTCCTGGCCCCCAGGTGCTGGTCTGCCTGCCCGGCCTCCGGGTGCCGTCCCCGGCCGTGACCACCGCACTCACCACTGAACCACATGATGAACATCATCTTGGGCGTGATCTTGTGATCACGGAAGAAGTTCAGGAGGTAGGAGAGAGGGAAGATGTTCACCGCGCGGCCAAACAGCACCAGCACCTGGGAAGGCAACGCCGCGTTTCAGGACCCTCGGGCTGCTCGGGGCCAAAGCGAGCACAGCACGGAGGGCGCTGGCCTTGCCTGGCATGTGGTTCCCCCCCGCCCTGGGTTCCACCCCCGGCACCACCCTAGGACCCCCGCTCTCCCCATCCCCACCCCGCACTGCCAGGTCCACCCCCCACTGCCGAGCCAGGAGCAGGCCCTGAGCATTGCTAGGTGTGGTCCAAAATACAAATACTAAAACTTCGAGAGAAAGAACCCCGGGGCTGCGCCTCTGACGTCGGTCACCCCAGCCAGAGGACTGAGGAGGGACCAGCCACAGCCCTGGTCACGACAGCGGAGCGGAAAGGGGCCCCAGAGGCCTCACAAAGGGCCCCGCGGACTCATTTAGGGCGACCGCATCCTCCAGGCGGCCCGCGGGGACCCGGCGCTAATCATCCCCGCTGGACTAGCCCGCGGGGGAGGCCCGGACTCCCCTTCCTCGGGGTGCAGGAGGGCACCTGTGCTCCTAACTGCTCTCGCCTCAGTCTGGGCGGGGTGGGGGGGGGGCAGGGCCTTTGCTTTGCATGCAGGAGCCCCAGGTTTGACCCCCAGCACCATGCAGCCTCCGGAGCACTACGCCAGGAGTGGCCTGAAGCACATGGTTCCAAGAACTGTCCGGACCCACGTGTCCTGCCTCTAGCCGATTGTGTGTTGTGGCCTGGGGTTGCCTGTCTCAACAGCCGTCTCCAGGAGGAGGACGACCCACTCGCTTCTTTTTCCTCATCCTCACCGCCTGGAACTTGCCAACAGCCCAGGCAGGTGCCCACGCGTCCCGGGGATGCTAAGCTCACTCACTCTCTCTCTGACCTCAGCCACGCCTCCACTCAGGCCTGGGGGCACAGCCGGCCCCCCACGGCCTCCTCCTCCCTGGCCATCCCAGTCACACGCCAGGCGAGGTGCCGCTGACCGAGCTCCTGGCGATGGCCCTGGGGACAGGTGCCACCGTCTCCGTTTCAGAGACGAAGTGGGAGACTGAGTGTCCGTCCGGGGGAGGCCATGCGGGCCGGCCAGCACCCACTGGCCCATCCACCGCACACGAGGGGTGGGGGGGGCCCGAGTGGCCCCATCAGGATCTCCTGGGCTTCTTCCCTGATCGCCCTGAAACCCAATCCTGCACCCCAGCACTTGTGCCTCAGGCCTGACCCCATGGGGTGGGTCACTGAAGGTGACGTCAGCCGCGTTCGCTGTCCCAGAGCCACCTGAGCGGGAGCACTGCATCCTCGCTGGCGGGGGGAGGATCACGGGGTGGGAGACGCGCCTTTCCCTCCCCAGGACAATAACCAGGCGCGTATCTTACGAACACCAGGGGTGGAGGCTCTGGGGGGCAACACTGGGGTGAGCTCAGAGCCCCTCCTGGGGAAGGGGAGTGGGAGGAGGAAGCAGGGACCCCCCAATAGGCTCCAGCACCCCCCCCGCCCCTCACACTCGCTCCAGTCCCTGCCAAGAACCCAATTGACTGTTCTGCAAACAGTGAAACACCTTATCCGTGCTTTAAGGGCAGGAGGTTTGTCTTGTTTTGTATTGGGGCCACACCTGTGGTGCTCGGGGCTGACTCCTGGCTCTGTGCTCAGGGATCGCCCCTGGCAGGACTGGGAGAGAGGGCCCTGTGGGGTGCCGGGGATGGAACCTGGTTGGCGCAAGCAAGGCAGACGCCCTCCCGCTGTGCCCGGGCTCCGCTCAAACCTTGGAGATTAAAGTTAGTCTCCGACCGCCTCCCAGACCCAGGGCGATGCTGGTTCCCAGGCCTTCTGGATGAGGCAACGGCCAGTGCTGAGTCCTCCGAATGGATCTCCAGGGGAGGGAGGGCCCGCTGATCTTTAAACAACTGCCCAAGGCCACGGGTATCAGTGGGCATTAGAAGGACCGCGGCAGGCAGTCCGGGGAGCACTAGACATTATCCAGAACAAGAGAAAGAAACAGGCCCGGCTTCTAGCAGCGCAGGGCTGCACGTCCCGTTCCTATTTCTCTGCATCATATTGTCACACGTCGTTACCAATTGCACAGGTGACACCCGCCCTCCCCCCCCCTTTTTTTTTTGCCACCAGATGTAAAATTACATCAACATGCACTTTGTGAAAGGAGACTGACATCCAGGTCACTGGAAACGAGAAACTCAGCATGAACCCTTTTCCAGGGACGCTGCACACAGTCCCACCCCGCTTTCCTTCACCGCATGTTTGTGACGAAAGAAACTTTCAACGGAACAACGTCTATGTAGCTGTTGACTCAACCAGTTAACAGTTACATACATGAATCTGAAACATGTGGTCACTGATCTACAAAGAAGTGATTAAATTAAAACAAACAAACAAACAAACAAGGAAAATACTTACTATGCACCAGATGACAAAGGAAATTTCAAACTTGTGAGGGAAACTAAAAATGGACAGGCCAAGAAATGCAAACACACATGTTTCTGAAACAGACCAGAGAGCGCGTTATTCACCCGGCCACGGTCGCCCGACAGCCTCAACCGCTACGCAAGCAAACACGGGGCGCTCAGCCCTCTCCCCGTTTCCCGGCACTTCTGCAGCCAGTGCTGGCTCTCAGCCCTGCACGGGGACGCTCTCCCTCTCTCCCTCTATCCCTCTCTCTCGCTTGAAAGGGGCAGGGACGGGCTATTCGGACTCTCCTGGGGAACCAGTTAGACTGTCAAGATTCGCTGGCCCGGGGCCGACGGTAGAGGCACGAATCTGTCTGTTTCCTGGATCCGGACAGCAGCCCAGTGGCAGAGACCCCTGCCGAGGCTGGGGGACCAGCGAGAAAGGACCCTCTGTTCCCTTCCCAGCGGGCTGCCGATGGACCCCGGCTTCCCATGCCGGCTCACACCCTCGGGATGGGCAGGAAGAGGCATTTCCGACTTTTGGCTCCATCCCGAGACAAAAAAGGGTTTGGCATTCGCTCTTGGAAAAATGGTCACTTGTGTCTCCAGACAAAAAAAGAAAAACAAAACAAAAAACAACCTTGCAAATGATCGTCACTCCCCGACAGCCGGCGGCCCGGGGCAAGGCAGGCAGAAGAGACTGGGCTGCGATCAGCCCACCAGGCCCTTCCGGGCACCCCTGCAGAGCTGCTGCTGCTCGTGAATCTCGAGACCCCCCCCACCCCTGTCTTCCACACACCGTTTCAGATCTAGTCAGCTCCAGAGCACAGGGTCAGGCCCAGGTCAGGCCCGGCCCAGGGCGCCCACCTCAATGGGCAGGCTGGGTGCGGGCACTGGCATCCCTTCTGGTTCCGCCCTCACGCGCTGCCTCCCCCGCCCAGGGCTCTTCCCAGAGACAGGAGACTGTGCCCTTTGCTCTCCCTGCACAGGCCGTGGGGCAGGGCTGGCTTCCCACACCCTGTGCCATGCTGATGGGAGAGGGAAGGGGCCGAGACCCCGGCTGAGGGGCGCGTGGGGGGCCCTCCCGGGCTGGGGAGGCTCAGGTCTGAGTGGAAGCCTGACGAGCCCGGGGCTCCGGGGGACGAGGGCTTCAAGACAGGGTGAGTGCGGCTGGGACGCCAGGGAGATGCTGATGACATAAGGGTGGGCACCGCTGGGGGCTGCTGTCTAAGTGCCAACAGCCCTGTCCCTGCCAGGTCTAAACCAGGGAGGGGGTCCGGGCACCGGGGGCACGCGTGGGAGAGGCCCGAGCATAGCACATGGGGCTCCTGCACGCGGCCAAGCCGGGTTCCATGCTGGCACCCCATATGCTCCCGGAGCACTGCCAGAAGGAAATCCTGAGTGCGGAGCCAGGTATGACCCCTGGCCCCTGAGCACTGCTGGGTGTGGCCCCAAAACAACAACAAGAAAAAACACCAGGGGCTGGAGCGATAGCATGGCGGGGAGGGCATTTGCCTTGCACGCGGCTGAGCCGGGTTCGATTCCCAGCATCCCATAGGGTCTCCTGAGCACCACCAGGAGTAATTCCTGAGTGTCTGAGCCAGGAGTGACCCCTGTGCATCGCCAGGTGTGCCCCCAAAATCAAAAAACACCAAGGAAATTTGTCTTCTGGGGTACCCAGCCTCACAAGGGCACACCCCATGCAGGGCCTCCCTTCCAGCCATCCTCGTGATCTGGGGGCGAGTGCACACCTTCCAGTCCCAGGGCGAGCCAGCTGGAAAGTCTCCCAGTTCCCAGCAGTAGACTGGAGGGCTCCACACCCTTTTAAGAGCTATGGGGCAGGGGCAGCCTCCTTTCCCTGCCCTGAGACCTGCCCGAGGGCTGCATTTTGGGGAAGTGCCCCTTTAGGACATCACCCAGGTCTGGGCCCCAAAGGTTCACCATGAAAAGCTGTCAGTCACTCTCGGTCCTCCCCAAGTGGGTGTCAGGCCTCAGGCCTGGGTGCCCTCTGGATTCCAAAACTCAGAAGAGCCCACACCAGGTCCAGGGGCACGGTCTCCAGGCTGACCCCGAGGCGGGGGCGGGCGGGGGGGGGGGCTACTCACCGCACAGGAAAGCCACGGTGCGCAGCGTCTGCTGCATGAGGACCTGGGTGACGGGGGACAGGTTGTGGTGCGTGTAGTGGGACATCACGATGCCGGAGAACAGGATGGCCATGATGCCTGGGGGTGGCAGCGCAGACGAGTCAGGCCGGGCTTGACCCCGGGAGCCCCACCGCCCCGGCCCACACTGAAAACCCTTTCCAAAAAGCAAAAGTGCATCTCCCACACACCCTCCTTGGTGGGGTAGAGAGGCAGCAAGGCCACGGCCCTACAGATTGGACAGGGGTAGGGTAGGGCACACGCGAACACGGGCTTCTGGGGAGCAGAGTCTCCCCAGAGAGGAAGGGCACTTGGGAGGCGGGGGAGAAGGGAGGGAGGAGGAACCCGGGGGAGTTCACACCCTAGGCAACACCGGGGTGCCGGGGGCTACAGCACGCCACGCTTCCAGAAGGCCACGTCCAACCAGAGCCAGTGACGGGTCAATCACCCCACAGCAGACAGGCAGCAGATAGGCCCGCCACCCCGGGAGAGACACTGGTCGCGACCACCCACCCGGAGGTGACGGGTTCGCCGTTAGCTCTGCGGATTGCCAGCTCCTTCACAATCCGGTTATGAAAAATTTATTTTATTGGGGGGGGGCACACCCAGTGATGTTTGGGGCTTATTTCTGGCTCCGTGCTTAGGAATCACACCCATGGGCTTGGGGGAGCGTCTGGGGTGTCGGGGATGGAACCCTGGTAGGCTATGTGCAAGGCAAGAGGCTACTTGCTGTCCTATCGCTCCGGCCCCTCCGTTATGGAAGTTTCTCTTCAAAATGTAACAGGAGAGACGTGGTTCAACGAGCAACAGGACAGGCACACGCTCTCCATGCGTGAGGCCTGGCTTCCATCCTCAGGACCAGAGGGAGCCCAGACCGAAAACAAACACCCCCAACACGACCAGGGCCAGAGAGATGGCACAGTGGGCAGGGCATTCCACCCCCAGCCCTGTCAGGAGTGACCCCTGAGGCAGAGCAGGAACAAGTAGGTGTGTACCCCCCCCCCCAACCGAACCAAACAAACAAGAAAAGAAAGACAGCTAAAAACAGCGAGGCTAGGGGGCTAGAGTGGGGTGTTTGCCTTGCACGCGGCCGACCCGGGTTCGATTCCCAGCATCCCATATGGTCCCCTGAGCACTGCCAGGAGTAATACCTGAGCATCGCCGGGTGTTACCCAAAAAGCAAAACAAAACAAAACAAAACAAATGAACAAACACAGTGAGGCTAGAGCCAAATGATGATTCTACAGGTGGGGGGCGGGGGTGCCAGGGATGGGGGGGATCTGAAGGCAGGCCCAGGAGGGGAGGAAATGATTCGGAAATGATTCGATCTGATTTAAGATGGAAAGTCTGCAAAAGTCCGGGGCGGGCCAGGAGCCCCGGCGGAAGTGACCCGAGTTCTCCTGCTGCCCGGGCCAGTCGCTCACCAAGTCCCAGTGTGAGGCGCCAGCCAGCGTCATTGGTGGGGAGGAGAACTCAGCTTGGGGGTCATTAAAAGCCCCTAGGGACACCTGCTGTGCCCTGAAGGCATAATTGCCCGGAAGGAAGGAGCCGTGGTGCCAGGAAAAAGCGACTGCCCTGGAGTCAACCTGAGTGCAGCTAACGGCTCAGGAGAAAGCCCAGCCTGGGGGAGCCTCATCCTCAAGTGCTCAAAGCCGTGGGTGGGGGGGAGCGGGTCTGTGTGCGGGTGGGGAGTCTGCGTTTCCAGCGGGGGCCAGGCGACACCCTTTGTTCCTGGTGCCGCTCTGCACCCGTCTGTCCCATCAGGTGGGCCAGCAAGCCTCAGAAGGCTCGAGCAGCTTCCAGCTCCTTCTCTGCAGGGCCGGGGAAGCCCCGCTTGACGCAGGCGGGCACCGCAGTCCAGCGGACAGCAGGGTCAGGCCACGGCTGGTGGCTCAAATGGGAACCCGCCGGCGAGGCAAGAGCCGGAAGAGACGATACGCAGCCGTGACGGCGGGCCGGTGGGCATGGCCGGAAATGCGACAGGCATGTTCGGGATGGAGTGGGAGCGGGAGGGAAGCAGAAGGCAGAGAGACGGCTGAGACTTGTGTGGACAGTCCAGGAGAGGGGTCACACCGAGGCCGCGGAGACAGGACAGTGGGGAGGGGGCTTGCCTGGCAAGCGGCCGACCCGGACTCGATCCCCGGCATCTCACAGGGTCCCCCTGAGCCTGCCAGGAGTGACCCCTGAGCACAGAGCAGGAGTCAGCCCTGACACAGCTGGGTATGGCCTCAAACAACACACACACACACAGACACACACACACACAGACACACACACACAGTAGCTGAAGATATAGATAGCACAGTAGGTAGGACACTTGCTTTTGCACAAGGCAACCTGGGCTCAATCCCTGAAACCCCATCTGACACCCCCCCACCCCAGCCCCCTGCCAGAAGGCTCAGGAGTCAGCCCTGAGCACCACTGGGGGCGGTCATTTCCCCAAATAAAAAATGTTTAAAGTGTAAGAATTTAAAGAATGTATCAAATCTGTCGAAAGTTATGAACTCATCATCAGCCATGAGTTCGTAACGCAACACACACACACACCAGCAGGGGGCCGAGGGACCCACGTCAGGCACCTGGAAAGCTGCGGGCCGGGCCGGGCTCTCACGTGGCCGAGCGTGGGCTGAGCCGCCTTGAGACGCCTGTGTGGTGGGGGGGGCATCGTGGCCTGGCCTCCTGGAACATGCAGCCGTATCTGACTGAGTGAAGCCCACCCTCGAACCCAGCCCCGCACCCCTCCACACTCGTCCACGATAAATAAAAACAGGGGGGCTGGAGAGACAGTCCAGCGGGGAGGACACTTGCTCTGCACGCGGCTGACCCGGGCTCGATCCCCGGCAGCCCACAGGGTTCCCCGAGCCCCGTCAGGAGCAAATGCTGAGTGCAGAGCCAGGAGTCGGCCCTGAGCATCACCAGGAGTGACCCCAAAAACAACGTGGGAGTGGGATGGGGAATCCCCAGAGATGCACACTGGGGATAAATCGAGGCATGCGGGGAGTCTGAACGGCAGCTTCAGTCTCAGGGGCTGAAGCCTGCCACCGTGGTCGTGGAAGGCACCGACTACCCGGGATGGGCTGAGGGAGCCACTGACAGGGCGGCCCCGTCCCTGCCTGGGGCAGGACGCCTGGAGGCGGCCTCTCGCGTCCACTCACCAGAGAGCGAGATTCCTTCCGCCAGCCCGTAAGGGAGGTAGGCGAAGATGATCATCATGCCGAACTCCAGCGAGGGCGTCTTCCGGAGGTCGATGTGCTTCAGGACGTGAGCGGCAGTCGTCAAGGAAACAAACCCACAGGCTGGTGACACCAGACCTTGCAAGGCCACAAGCTGTGACTTGTGGCTTCCAGTGATGACCCAGAGTGTCCCAAGGCAACCACGGAAAAGGCATCGCGATAGATTCTTTTTGGGTCATACCCAGCGATACTCAGGGTTCCTCCTGGCTCATGCCCTCAGGAATTATTCCTGACGGTGCTCGGAGGACCCTATGGGATACTGGGAATCGAACCCGGGTCAGCTGCGTGCAAGACAAATGCCCTCCCTGCTGTGCTATTGCTCCACCCATGACAGACTCTTGTCTGGAGAAAAGGCGGTCTGGAGGAGGGGGCAAGCTGACCTGTGTGGTTGTCAGCCCCCGGCACTGGCAGGAACCTCCCCACTCTGTTCCCACACACAGACCTGGGAGTGGCCCCAAGGACCACCAGCTACGGCTGCACACACTACACCCCTTGCTGGCAAAGGGAGGCCAGACAGAGCCCTGAGCTCCAGCTGGCAAAAATGTAGCAATAGAGAGAATGTGCCAAAGCCCCCAGGAGGGCAGAAGGGAAAGATAATCACCTCCAATGAAAAAGAAATAAAAGGATCTGAAAAGATGGTTCTTTTTTTTCCTTTTTGGGTTACCCCCAGCGATGCACAGGGGTTACTCCTGGCTCATGCACTCAGGAATTACTCCTGGTGGTCCCCAGGGGACCATATGGGATGCTGGGAATCGAACCTGGGTCGGCCGCTTGCAAGGCAAACGCCCTACCCGCTCTGCTATTGCTCCAGCCCTGAGAAGATATTTATGTGGAAAGAGAAACCCCTAAACCTTTAAGCCTTGGGGGTTTTTATTTGTTTTAGTTTTGGAGTCACACCCAGTGATGCTCAGGGATATTTCTTGGCTCTGCACTCAAAATAATAAAAAATATAAAAACTACAAAAATTTTTAAAAAATGTAAATGATGGAGAATGGGCACTGGTGAAGGGATGGGTACTGGATCATTGTATAACTGAAACCCAAGCACAAAAACTTGTAAGTCTACAACTGTACCTCATGGTGTTTCACTAATAAAAAATTAAAAAAAATAAAAAAGAATTACTCCTGATGGTACTCAAGGGGCCATACGGGATGCCGAGGATTGAACCCCATAAACCGTTAAAACGTTGAAAACTTGTTCAGGTTCAGGATTAGCACTGTTAGCACTGTTCTCCCGTTGTTCATCAATTTGCTCGAGCGGGCACCAGTAACGTCTCCATTGTGAGACTTGTTGTTACTGTTTTTTGGCATACCGAATACGCCACGGGGAGCTTGCCAGGCTCTGCCGTGAGGGTGGGATACTCTCGGTAGCTTGCCGGGCTCTCCGAGAGGGCTGGAGGAATCGAACCCGGGCCGGTCGTGTCAGCCACAAGCAAGGGACACGCCCTACCTGCTGTGCTATTGCTCCAGCCCAAACCAAAAGCAATAAAACAAAAATCAATTTGGAGGGGGAAGTTTAAATTCCTGAGAAGTAAACTCAGCATCGAGATCTCTCCGTGAAAACCTTGGTGGCCAGCGGCCTGGGAGGGGCCCTTCGGCTGGCAAGGCCCGCGGGAGCAGGAGGGATATCAGCGCTGAGATGAGGCCCGTGAACGTGCCCAGGGCGGCGGAGCCAAAGAACATCTTGAGGAAGTAGCCGAGGGCCTGCAGGAACGTCTGCCACCCGCTGACGTCGGACGTGTTTTTCCTTGTTAGACCTTCAGCTGTGCTGGGAAAAGAAAGCAGCACCGCGAGACGCTAAGCGGGTACAAGACGCTCCCGCAAAACGCGGGACGCGTTTTCTGCGGGACGTGGCTCCGTCCCCCGCCCCCTGCAGGAGACCTGCTCACCCACTCTGCTCTGGGCCCTGTGTTCGTGGGGGGTGGGGGGGAGAGCACACACCAGCGCTCAGGGGCCCCCTGAGCCGTGCTGCCACAGGGCACGGGTGAAGGCAGCAGGGCACGTGCGGGAGGACACGCGGGCCGGGTGTCCACGCGGGGGAAGGGCCAATTCGTGGAAGAGTGAGGGGAGACTCCACGGCAGCAGGAGGGGCAGGGCGGGGCCCAGAGACCCAGGCAGGAGCCATGTGCGGGGGCGGCCAGGGCTGGAGGGACACAGGCGGTGAGGGCAGTGACAAGGGACGGGCAGAGCTGCGGGCAAGCAGCAGGCCCTGAGAGCCTTTGGGGGGCTTGGGGGTGGTGGTGCTCAGATTAGCAGGGGGGTCACGGGGTGGGCAAGTGCCTCAGCCCCTGTCCTACGGCCAGCCTGGGAATGGGCATTTCATGGTGTGTGTGTGTGTGTGTGTGTGTGTGTGTGTGTGTGTGTGTGCGCGCGCATGGATGTGCCTTGTGTATATATGTGTGTGTAGGTGTGTCGTGTGTGTGTGTGTGTGTGGTGTGTTTGTGCATGGATGTGCTGTGTGTGTATATATATATGTATGTGTGTGTACAAAGGTGGGTAGAATATGAGTGTGCGTGCGGGTGTGTGGTGTGTGGTTCGCATGTGTCTGCACGCGCAAACTGAAATCTGACGCTGAGACTCTGGCCTGGAGCAAGAGCAGGATGCACTGAGGGAAAGGTCACTGGCACCTACTGAGGGGGCGGATTTGGGGACGTGGCTGAGGCAACAGGGAAGGACCGTTCCTCTCGTTCCTCTCGCAGTGACAGGACCAACTATAGTCATTCTGTTCGCCCCAAAGGGAACAATCCTCATGCCACCCCACCGGAAGGGGCTTTTGTCATCCAAGCTGAGGATGATTCTAATTCCTGACTCTCAAGTCCAGCTACACGGCTCCCTCCCCTCCCTGCCCTCCCCGACTCCCAGCCGCCCTCTCTGCCCTGGCGCTGGCACCTTGGAGGGCATCGAGCACTGTCTGCAATACCTGCCCTGCACACGCATGGCTTCCCCGGCTCCAGGCGGCTGAGACCACCCGCTCCAGGCCACGCCAGAGCCTTGTCCTAAACCACACAGGCAGACAACTGTGCTGGACCAGCAAACGCCAGCCAAGGCCCTCGGCAGCAACAGTCACTCGTGCGTGAACATTTCTGGAGGGGCCACTGGAACAGAACAAGCTCTGCCGAGAAGAGCGCTGGGCCCAGTGGCCTTAGGACGCCCCTGGGGTCTGTACCCCGTGACGGAGCAAGTCACACCTAAGAGTCCTGCAAGAAAGGAATCTCCCGACAGTCCCTTCAGAGAGGAGATCCCTGGCGGTGCAAGGACTGGAGCTCATCCTTGCAAGTGGGAGGCTGGGATGCACCTCAGTACCCAATGGCTGCCGGAGGCAGGAGCACAGAGTGTGTGTGTGTGTGTGTATATGTGTAGGGAGGGTACCAGGAATCAAACTCAGGGCCTCACACACACACAGGCATGTGGTCTGCCAGAGCTCTGTACTCAGACCAGGAAGGTTCATCTTTTATGGTTTTCTTTTATTTTGGGTCACACCTGACAGTGCTCAGGATTTACTCCTGGCTCTGTGCTCAGAGATCACTCCTGGCAGTGTTCAGGGGATCCTGTGGGATGCTGGGGATCCAACCAGGGTCAGCCACACGCAGGGCAATTACCTAAGCCCCTGAACAATCTCTCTGACCCAGGAAAGATCATCCTAAGTGACTTCCTCTCCTTCACCCTCCCCCCGTCTTGGGGGGGCCAGGGTATGACGCCCAGTGGTGCCTGGGGCCCTATGCAGCGCCAAGGATCAGACCCGGAGGTGGTGCTCCCAGCATGGAGGTGGTGCTCCCACACTCGGAGGTGGTGCTCGACACTCGGAGGTGGTGCTCCCACACTCGGAGGTGGTGCTCGCACTCACATGGCAGTGATCCTCGCACTCAGTGGTCATGCTCACACTCGGGTGTGATGCTCCCACACTTGGGGTGGTGCTCACACGCCTGGAGATGGGGCCTGCACATTCGGTGGGGTGCGTGCACACTTGATGGTGCTCCGCACACTTGGTGTGGTGCTCTCGCAGAGGTGGTATCCGCACATGCCTGGCCAAGGGGTGTGTCAGGATGACCCACTTTGTTGGTCACCACACGGGAGTGCTGGGGATTGACCTCTGCCACTGGGCCCTGACCCGGGTTGGGGTAGGGCTGCTTCTTGCTCTGTGCTGAGGGGTTGCTCCCAGTGGTTCTTGGGGGAGCGGGGGGCGGGGGGGGTCAGCCTGTTGCTCTTCCTGTCTGCTCCCTGTGGTATTTTGTTTGGGGGCCACACCCAGCGATGCTCGGGGCTGACTCTGGCTCTGCACTCAGGTATCACTCCCAGTGGGCTCGGGGGGACCCGATGGGGTGCCGGGGACGGAAACTTGGGTTGGCTGCGTGCAAGGCCAGCACCCGACCCGCTGTACTTGCTCCAGGCCTGATCCCTGAGGGTCTTCGATCGCTCAGCTCCTGTCAACTAAAGCGGCGAGACCAGGGACACGTGCAAAGGTCCTGTGGGTTCTAAAGCCATTTTCACAAAGCGCTTGGGGTGGGGGTGGGAGGGTGAGAAGCCACTGGGAATGGGGCGCTACCCTCGGCCGCTGTCTGGATGAGAGACGGGGAAGAGTCACTCCTGAAAGGCTGGTTCCTGTCTCCTCATCACCCCAAGCCCCGACTGCCGCCCTGGGCCACAGCGACGCGAGGGACGCAGCCCCCACCCCCCCCCATCCCCGGCAGGAGGCGGCTTACTTGGTCAGGACGATGGAGACGGCGTCGTTGAGGATGCTCTCCCCGAAGACCAGCATGTTGAGCACGGGGTCCACGTGCAGGGCGTTGAAGATGGCGATGGTGGCCACCGGGTCCACGGCGGAGATGAGGGACCCGAAGGCAAAGCTGCGGGGGGGGAGGTGGGGGCTCTGACGTGGGCACAGCATGGGGGGGCCACGTTTGGGGTGGGGCCGGGCTAAGCCCATTCTAGAGGGGCCCCTGGGGACGGGCTGGCTCCTGCTCTGAGAAGCAACTGGGACTCGGGGCGGCCCCGCGGCGGGTGGAAGGGGTCTCCCCAATGGCCCCGGAGCCCCGGGCTCTGGTCTTTGCTCTGCCCCTTGTCGCCAATGCGCGGCCCACCCCAAACTCCACTCAGGTCTGCTCAGAAAGTGCCCGAGCTGTAACCAACTCCAGGGTGCTTGGGGGATGGTGGCAGGGGCGGCAGAGCCCCCCAGGGCTGCCCCACGGGCACAGCCCCCCATCCCCACCCCCAGGGCTCTGCCCTCAGGGGCAGTCGCCACTTCCCAGGCACACACCGGCAAGCACAGCGGCCCAGAGCGGCCAGGCCTGGGACCCGTGACCCCCGTGCTGGAGATCGGCCTGGACTCGCTGCCCACAGGCAGCCAGGCAGGGAGAAAGGGGCGCTGTGGGCACCATTATGCACTCTGCAGGCCCCGTGGCCCAGGTAGCCATGAGGAGGGGTGGGCGGGGCTGCCCGAGCCACAGGGGAACGCTGCAGGGCGCGGAGTGAGAGCACTGGCCAGAGTCAGGACTGGCCGGCACAGCCTTGAGCCAGCCTGTTCGGTTCTGAGAGCGTGAGACCCCCCCAGGGCTGGCCTGGCCCAGCAGTGAGGGCCCCCCAACCCCCCAGACCCTATAGGCTGCTGACACGCAAGGAGGACACCTCGGGTCCCATTGGTGGGCGTGGCTGGGAGGCGGGAGGAGGCTGCCAGGAGGGGGCAGTGTCCGGACGCGGGCAGCCTCACCACCTGCATCTGTTCAACCGTGGTTTGGGGAGCACGCCCGGCGGAGCTCAGGGACGCTGGCAGGGCCAGCCTGTACCCGGGCCTCCTGTGTGATCTGTGCGGGAGCAGCTCTCCGGGGAAACCGGTAACCAGGCAACAGCATGTCCCTGGGGAGTGGCACGGCTGAGGCCGCTGCCCAGGACAGCATCAGGGATGGAATGTGGGGCCGCCCCGTTGCGGGTAAGGCTGGGGCCTCTCTCGGCACCCACCGGTGCCTCGCCCCCACCTCCTGCCCAGTTTGGGACGGCGTAGGAAGGTGACCACTCGTTTGCATAGCCCAACTAGCTTGGCACAGAAGCTTCAGAGCTTATGTGGGGGGAGGCGGGCAGGGCAGGGCAGGGCCCCGGCGTGAGTCGGTCACTGTGACCAAGGCCCCTGGAAAAATTCTAGTTCCCCGGAGGGAGGGGAGGCGGGACACGAGGCTGGAGCCACATGCTGTCTGTCTGTCCGAGCAAACAGCAAGGCCGCAGCAGGGTTTCCCGGCCTGTACCCTCTCTCAGGAGCGCACCCCCTGCCTTCCGAGACGGCATGGCCTTGTCCTTGTGCCCCCCCCCCCCCCCCAGCACCCGAGCCCACACCGGTTCCTGATGAGGAAGAGCTTTTCATGGTGGTCAGGGAAAATGAGCCCGAGCGGGGGGGTCTCCAGAGTGAAAAGAACAACGGTGCGGGGAGGGGCCAGGGGCAGTGAGGGGCCGGAGCACTGACTGATGAGCACAAACTCCCAGGAACCCGTCAAACTCTCACGCTGGCGCCTGGCTGATCAGCCAGGCACCGGCATGAGATGTTCAAAGTCCTGCCACGTGATTCGGACTCATTTCCGAGACGAGACGTGCGTGGACGGAGAAGGTCAGCGGCAGAGAGAGACCGAGAGCACTGACAGGGGCAGCCCGGCAGGAAGCAGTGCGGGAAAACGTCCCCGGGGCTGAGGAAAACACCCCCCATGGCGGCACCTCCGCAGGGAAGATTACCTGTCTGTCATGTTGAGTTTAGAGATGACATCAGCCTGCAAAATAAAACACACAGACACACTTCAAAGAAGCCCTGGAGGACAGCAGCGTGCGAGGTGCCCGCTAGAGCGCCTCTCAGTCCACCCTGATGGGAAGTGAAGGAAACTCCTTTTTTCTTTTTTTTTTTTTTTTGCTTTTTGGGTCACACCCAGTGATGCTCAGGGCTTACTCCCAACTGCACTCAGGAGTCACTCCTGGTGGTGTTCAGGGGACCATATGGGATGCTGGGGATTGAACCTGGGTCGGCCACAATGCAAGGCAAACGCCCTCCCCGCTGTGCTATCGCTCTGGCCCCGTGAAGAAAACTCTTAAGTGAGACCCCTGAGAACGGGAAAGAAAAGTCACATTTACCGAGCCAGAGTCTTTCCTCCCTCAAATTTCTTCCCATCTGAAAACTGCAAGGGGTGGAGCTCAGGCATCCTGAAGGGTTTATTTTGGTGGGGGGGAGGTGTAGGGGGTTGTCACTGAGGCAGAGTGAGAAGCAGCCGAAATGGGCTTTAGCTATCAAAAGCCATGAACCCACAGAGGGGCCGTCTGCCAGTCCCCAAGATGCTCAAACCCCAAACTCTGCTTCTGGAACAGGGCAGGGAAAAAGGCGGAGGGACACTGGGGGCAGACAAGGTCAAGGTCACGGGCATGACCTGCTGTGAGGTCTAGCCTGAATCAATGCAAACAAAGCTTTGGCCCGGCCTGAGGACACTGCGTCTTTCCAACCACGGCGGAAAATCCCAAGGAGGGCGTTACCTTGGCACTAACTGAACACATTCAAAAGCACCTTCGCTCAGGACAGGGGGTGGCGGGGGGCGGGGGGCAAACCTGGCTCTGACTCAGGCCTCCTGGCAGGACCCCTGGGAACAGATGCAGGGCCAGGATCAGGCCGGGCAGTGTCGTGCGTGGGGGCCAGCGCCCTGCCCCGAACTCTCTCTGACCCAGCTTCTCTGAATTTTAAAAGGCAAGTTTTGATTTAAAAAAGCAAAACAAAAAGATTTGACTGAAAACACTTCACTCTGATTCAGTCTGAAAATACAACATATGTCATTAAGATGTGAAGTAGCACTGTAGCACTGTCCTCCCGTTGTTCATTGATTTGCTCGAGTGGGCACCAGTAACGTCTCCTTTGTGAGACTTGTTGTTACTGTGTTTGGCATATCGAATACACCACGGGGAGCTTGCCAGGCTCTGCTGTGAGGGCGAAATCCTCTCGGTAGCTTGTTGGGCTCTACGAGAGGGAGGGAAGAATCGAACCTGGGTCGACTGCGTGCAAGGCAAATGCCCTATGCGATCGCTCCAGCCCAAGATGTGAAGTACTTTATGGTAAATCTATCTTTGACTTTACTGTTCACATACTCTCCAATTTAAGACACTATTGGTGTGGCAAATGAAACCAATACTTGTGGGGCCAGGTAAGGCTCCCTAAATTCCAGGGGTTCCAGAGAACACTGGGCAGTGGGGGGCCCGGCCAGACCCTTCCAGGACGGGGAGCCACACTCCCTCTCTGTAGCCCCCACTCTAGGAGGGGAAGAGTCTTGAATTTTTTCCCCCCAATAATGTTTATCTTACCTGACCCAGAAAATAAATTCCTCCACCTACTACAAAAGCAGAAATTGCCGTCCCAAAAACGGCAAACAGGGTGATGGACCCGATATTCTGGAAGAAGTTTCCCTGTTCGAAAGAGCAGAGGAGAGAAAGGATGAGAAAAGCCAGTCCCGGAGGGCAGAGCGGCCGACTGGGACTCCATCCCCGGCACCCCAAATGGTCCCTGGGAGTCACTCTGGAGTGTGGAGAAGCAGGTCCTGGCAGTGGGACGCGAAGCCCAGACCTGGCCCTCCCACACCGGTCTCTCCTGCCCTGCTGGCCCCCCCAGCACTCCCCCACCCCTGCTCACATCTAACACGATCAGTGCCCCCCCAGGCACCGGCTCCCCAGCTCCAATGGGAACTGTACTAAAGACAACCCAAAGGCTGCCTCATCCAACCCCGAAGACTTCTGCTTGAAATGCAGCTAGCAGGAGGAGAGAGGGAGGGAGAGGGAGAGAGAAGAGAGAAAGAGGGAGAGAGAGACAGAGGAGAGAGGGAGAGACAGGAGAGAGGAGGAGAGAGACAGAGGAGAGAGGAGAGAAAGGGAGAGAGGGGAGACAGAGGGAAGAGAGAAAGGGAGAGAGAGCAGGAGAGGGAGAGAGGGAGAGAGAGAGGGAGAGAGACAGAGGGAGAGAAAGAGGGGAGAGTGGGAGAGAGAGATGGAGGGAGGGAGAGAGAGAGACAGAAGAGAGACAGAGAGGGAGAGAGGAGAAAGGGGGAGAGAGGGAGGAAAAGGAAGGGGGAGAGAGCTCAAAACAGCAAGTATGAGGGGGCTGGGGTCACAGTCTCCCCACATTGTCATTGTCACATTGTCGGTGGCCCCCAAGCAGGGGGGGTGGGGGGAGTCCCAGTACCGCCCCCTGCCCGGGGGAATGGGAGCAGCAAGGAGCCAGGCTGAGCCCCACCCGTTCCCTGATCACCCTGCAGACATTTGTTCCAGAGACCACGCTCTGATCCTGGGCAAGGAGCCTTCCCCCGGAACATTCCTGGGCATCCGTGTGGGCTGCGGTTCCTGGGGAAGGAGTGAGGCTGCTGGGCGCCCGAGAGCCGCCCACCGGGAGACAGGCCCTCGGGAATGACCCGCACCAGCGCTGGGCCAAGGGCCAAGCATCACAAGCACAGGGTTGGTTTGGGGGATACGATTAAGAAAAGCAGGATGTGGGGCTGGAGCGATAGCACATTTGCCTGGCACGTGGCTGACCCGGGTTCGGTTTCCAGCATCCCATATGGTCCCCTGAGCACCACCAGGAGTAATTCCTGAGTGCAGAGCCAGGAGAGTAACCACGGTGCACCAAAGGGTGTGGCCCAAAAACCAAAATAAATAAATAAATAAATAAATAGGATGTCCACAAAGACTGTCATGCAGCATTAATACGGCTGGGGGCTCCTGTGACCGTCCAGGCCGTCGGACACAGTGCGCTGACTCTGCTAGAATCGTCAGCAAGCAGGCGCCCTCGCCCTTGCACTATGGCTCTGGCCCCTCTCACATTTTTCTATCCAGGTTTCATTCAATAAAAATTACCGTGCTTCACTGAAACGCAGCTACCCTAGTATTAATGATGTCGTTAATAGACAATATGAGTAAGCAGAACCCTACTTATTTAACATGGCAGGTGGTCTCTGCACACACCCTTCCATCTAGTGTGAACCCTGAAGCGGCCTGGGAGATGGGGTTTCTGGGGTGTCCGGGGCGCTCAGTTCTCATCTCCCGGGAAAGGCGCCGGCTGTCTCTCTCCTCTCCCCGGAGGAGGCCGGATCTCAGTCCTTCACCTATTCATAGTTTTCACGTCAGTCACAGAAGATCTGTGTGCCTCTTGTATTTTAAGACTCACGCTCATTCATACTTCTGAAATCTACCCTATGACCTTTGCTTAGACTCACACGGAAGCACACAGGGGGCTGGTGTGACGTGAAAAGCGCTGTCCAGAGAGACCGGGAACGCGAGGGCCTAGCAGAGAACTGGGCAGGGGCCAGGGGTCCCACTCCCCAGGCCCGGGAACTGAAGCGGCGGGAAGACCAGGGCCCACGATGGGCACCCAAGCCGGTAGCAGAAGTGGGCTAGGGTGAGCTGGGCGGGCCTGGAAGTGAGCCGCGTGGGCCAGAGGCTGCGCTGTATGCCCCCGACCCCAACACCTACACTTGTCCCGTTGTCAGCAAGACGAGTCAGCGCTTACAATCACTCTGGCATAGTCCTGGGCAAAGGCCCCCCGGAAAAGCTGGTTCAGGAGCTTCCTAGGAAACCACCTCCCCCAGGTGGGCAGCGCAGAACAGCGTCCCGGCCCCGGGAATTCACACCAGCACTGCCCCCCACGACTGAAGGCACCGCCCAGCAGTCAAGGGCTCCTTTGCAGAGGTGGGCACCCAGCCAGCAGCAGAGCGATCCGGGGGCCGAGAGCGCCGTCTCACCTTGTGCAATGAATAGCCTGACTCAAATATGATAGGCGGAAGCAACAGCAGAAAAAACATGTTTGGACGAAACATTTCTTCTTCCTGGAAATAGAGAGCAAACATTTTGAGAGGCACAGGGATTTGGGCAAGTCAAGCCACCCTGTGCTCTGGGCCCGGCCCTGTGGAAACACCGGGGTGCCAAAGTGACTGGCCCTGGCTGATGAGAAACCACGTGGACGGAGAGGTAAGCGACACCCCCAGCTGCCCTCAAGAGCACCTGAGTTGGAAAATGTATCATCGTACGGTCTGAATCCTTGTCAGAACGTCGATCCAAAAGAATGACTAAACATATTCTAACGAACGCCCAGCTGTCACCGTGAAGCCTAAACCGCATCCCAAACAGGCCCATGTAATGTCACCAGGCCTGGCCAACCAGAAGGGGAACAGATGAGCGGGACGGTGGGCACTTCAGGGGCAGCCGGGAGCAGCCATGAGCGGAGCCCCTGTCCCTCCCGGCCACAGGAGGGTGCTGCCCAACCAACAGCAGGGACCGGAGGGAGGCTCTGTTCACGGGCACCCACCGAGACCGTGCCCCACACACGAGGCCAAGAGAGCAGAGCCATGGGCATCTCCAAAGTTAAGAATAATCACTATAACGGGGGCTGGAGAGAGGGGACAGTAGGTGGGCACTCACGTGGCCACATCCTGGGTTCGATCCCCGGCACCCCATAGGGTTCCCTGAGCCCCGCCAGGCGTGATTCCTGAGTGCAGAGTCAGGAGTAACTCCCGAGCACTGCTGGTGTGACCCCCAAACACCAAAACACACACACAAATTCTTTTTAAAGAAAAAAACCCACTATAAGGGCCAGTGAGATCATACAGAGAGTTCAGCACTTCCTCCCTCACATGCGCCAGACCCCAGCTCGATCCCCGGCACCACACATAGTCCTCTGAGCACTTGTCAGGCCCTTAGGGACTCCTGCTGAGCACAGCCAGGAGCAAATCCCGAGCACAGCTGGTGACTCAAGAACAAAAACAAACAGGAAAGAACCCATAAGGCCTGTGGTTACGGAGGGAGAGAGTGAAGCAGGGAAGACTCTCGTCCCACACAGGGTCCCCTGGGCGCCTCCCGGAGCGACCCTGAGGATCCCGAGTAAGCCCTGAGCACCACTGGGTGTAGCCCGAAAACCAAAACAAGAAACACACACACACACACAACCCCCAAGAAACCCAAACCTCTAATTAAGCTAACAATGAACAGGTGAGCAAACCTACCTTCCAATTTGCCAGTTTTTTAAACTCTATAAATTTTATAACTGCCCCCATGAGAATACCTGAAAGAGAAAAATACAAAGTGTCACCTAAATGTGAGGTGTTAAAAAGATCAGGTTTATCATCGTAGAGAAACAATGTTTCTACGGCTCTCAAAGGCCTCTGGACTCCTGCAGGTTTGACGTCTGAAGCCCTCCACTGAAGGATGGATGTGAGGAGGGTTTCCAGGGCGTCCCCCAGGGGCTCACTGGCCTCTCTGGCAAACACAGTCTCCACGTTTACCCAGATCTGGGGGGACAGGGCATTACAGAGCCACAGTGAATGTGGCAGAAGGGACAGGTGTCAGGCGGCTCCTGCCTGCTGCGGGGGTGGGGTGGGGTGGGATGGGGGTGCAGGGGGTGCGGACAGCTTCCAGCTACCCCCGCCCAGCTGCGCCTCCCACAGTCTCTAGAGGGAGCCCGAGCTCGCCTTCTCGGTGCAGGTGGCAGCGCCAGGCAGATCCCTGGGGCGGAGATGGTGCGCAAAGGCGGGGCCCGGGGAGGGTTCGAGGTCTGCACCCAGGCCTGTCTGCAGAGCGACTGCTTTGGGGCGTGGCCCACGGCAACACACAAAACCCAAACCAAATATGGGGCAGGAGCTACCTGAAGGTAAGGAGCTGGTCTGGCAGGCGGCTGACAGGCTTGATCCCCTGACAGGCATCCCTTAGGGCCCCCCCAAGCCCGCCACGAGTGATCCCTGAGGCCAGCATTCTCAGGGGTCGATTCCCAGCACATCCCGTATGGCCCCCCGAACACCGCCAGGAGCAATTTCTGAGTACAGAGCCAGGAGTAACCCGTTGGGTCGCATCCCGGATGTGACCCAAAAAGAAAAAAAAAAAAAGACGTGATCCCTGAGTGCAAAGTCAGCTGTAAACCCCTGAAATGAGTGTGACTCAAAACCAAACCAAACCAAACCAAAAACTAACCACTTTAGAGATTCAGGAAGGAGAAACGGCGAGCGACTGCTGGGGTGGAGAAAGTGTCCTGGTAGAGAGTGACAATGGTTGTACAACCACACACTGAAAAATTCCGAAGCTCATGACCTAGAAATTATATTTTAATCTTTTAATTTTTTTTTTTGTTTCGTTGTGAGACTTGTTGTTACTGTGTTTGGCATATCGAATACGTCACGGGAAGCTTGCCAGGCTTTGCCGTGTGGGTGAGATACTCTCGGTAGCTTGTTCCTCCCCTCTCAGAGAGCCCCACAAGCTACCGAGAGTATCCAGCCCGCATGGCTGAGCCTGGCAAGCTCCCCGTGACGTCTTCGATATGCCAAACACAGTAACAACAAAGTCTCCAATGGAGACGTTACTGGGCCCGCTCGAGCAAATTGATGAACAACGGGAGGACAGTGCTACAGCGCAGTGCTACAGACCGGGGGGTGGGTGGGAGGGGGGACGCTACCCTGGGGTGCTCAGCGCTTATTCTCGGCTGTGCTCAGGGCTCACTGCTGGCAATGTTCGGGGGGACTTTATGAGGTGCCAGGGATCAATCTGGGGTCAGCCATATACACCTTAACCTTTGTACAATCTCCCCAGTCAGTTTTAATCTTTCAAAGTCAGAGGTTTAATTTGGGGCCACCCCCAGGGGTGTGGGGGGCTGCCCCTGGCTCAGGGCCCGGGTCCCGCTCCCCACAGACTGGCCAGCGCGGAGACCAGCGCTCACCTGAGTCCAGCGACTGGCTCACAACTTCCTGGGCTCTGTCCACACACCAGGGGACACGATCCATCTGACACGGCCTCCGTGTCATTGCGCCATCAGCCCAAGACCAACTAGCACCTGGTCCCCCCAAAGACTCCTGCTTTATGGACCACGCGGTGTCTGTGGCTGTGGACCCCCTCCAGGACCCCCTCCTGGCTAGCAGTGGACAGTACAAACCAGCTTCTGGGCGTGGTGAGACGCGGGAGTGACCGCATGCGGCCTTACTTCAGGAGTCTGCAGCTCACCTCCACTTAAGGAAGTTCTGCTTCCTTGGCCTGAAATGAGGCCCAGTGGGTTGAGAAATTTCAGGTCCTGTCTCCTAAGGGAAGCACTGTGAGGGCCCAAGAGAGAGCTCCGGGGACCGAGTGTGGGCTTCCACCAGGAGTGACGCCTACGTAGTTCTCCTTCTCTCAAAATTTAGATCATCTCAACAAAACCAAAATGAAACACATGAGATTACAACTGAGAAGTGTTTGCGTGGCCAAAGAAACTTGGGATAGATTTTAAAAAGACGCCTTACTGGCCCACAGCGACCGCACAGCGGGGAGGGCGCTTGCTTTGCATGTGGCTGACCCAAGTTCAGTCCCGGCATCCCGTGTGGTCCCCTGAGCACCTCCAGGGGTAATTCCTGAATGCAGAGCCAGGAGTAAGCTCTGAGCATCTCAGGTGTGGCCCCCAAGTGAAAGCAAAAAAAAAGATACTTTGCTGAAGGGGGAAAACTGTATACACAGTAACAGATAGGGGGCCTGAGCCATGGTACAGCAGGGAGGGCATTTGCCTTGCACGCAGACTAACCCGGGTTTGATCCTGGCATCCTATACGGTCCCCCGAGCACCGCCAGGAGTGATTCCCGAGTGCAGAGTCAGGAGTAAGCCCTGAGTATGCCAGGTGTGACCCAAAAAGCCAAAAAAAAAAAAAAAAAGACCCCAACCAAAAACAAAACAACCAACCCCCCAAAAAGTCCCCAAAACCAGATAAAAGGCTAATACCCAAGGTATATAAAGCACTAATAAAAACTTAACAACAAAATAGTCAACAACTCCATCAAAGAAACAGGGAAAGGAGGTGAACATTTCCCGAAGTCCTACCTGGGTGGTCAGCAGGCAGACGGAAAAGTCCTTGTCAGCACTGATTATTAGGGAAACGCAAACCAAAACAACCACCAAGTCTCATCTCAGGCCAGAAGTATGAGAACGGGACCGATCCCAAAGGCCGAAGTGACTGGAACTGGCAGGGCCGCGTTGAACAGGAGCTCTCGGCCCTGTTGCGGGGGACTTCGGGGCACCCGCACGACCCCGGGCTCCTTCCTGACATCGGTTCCCCGGGCACGGAACTGTCACCCTGGAAAGATCCCAGCACAGTGACGCTCATGCAGCACTTGGCACAACGGCAAGGCTGTGGGGACAGCCCGGAGACCCAAGGACAGACACACGGGGAAGGAAGTCACGGGGGTCTGTGTCTACACAGTGGGCAGCTGTATCGCTCCAGGAAGAGACGAGGGCGGGAGTGGGGAGCGTCGCCGAGTGAAGGTAGCCAGAGGAAGAGGGGCGCACCCCAGGACGGCGCTCAGTGGAGGGGCACGGACAGGCAGGCCGGGGGCACAAAAGGATCGGCAATGTGGGAGTGCGGGAGGGAACGAAGACAGGCCCAGAGGTGAGTGAGGATGGTAACGGGGGGTCACAGGCACGGAGGAGGTTCTGCAGTGACACAGTGCATTAGTTCCATCAGGGTTTGAGCTCTTCTGTAACCACAGTGCACTCTCACACTGCCCCGTCTCTCCCTGCTGTGGACTTACATAGGAAATACAGTCAAAAGATGCAGAAGTGAGGGGCTGGAGCAATAGCATAGCGGGTAGGGCGTTTGCCTTACACGTGGCCAACCCGGGTTCGATTCCCAGCATCCCATATGGTCCCCTGAGCACTGCCAGGGGTAATTCCTGAGCGCAGAGCCAGGAGTAATCCCTGTGCATCGCTGGGTGTGACCCAAAAAGCAAAAAAAAAAAAAAAAAAAAAAAAGATGCAGAAGTGGGGCTGGAGCGAGAGCACAGCGGGGAGGGCGTTTGCCTTGCACGGAGCCAACCCAGGTTCGATTCCCAGCATCCCATAGGGTACCCTGAGCAATGCCAGGAATAATCCCTGGCATCACTGGGTTTGATGCAAAAGAAAAAAAAAAACACAACAAAAACCAGATGCAGAAGCGCTAAGCCGTGATGACTGCAGAGCCAGGGACAGTCAAGGCTGCCTCTGGGCAGAAGCACGGAGCTACTGGCTGAAGAACTGCACCAAGACTGGGTGAGCCCGGGGCGGGGGGGGGGGGAGGGCGGGGGTTGTCAGTCGTACTGGTGGGTCACTTACCTTGCACACTGCTGACCTGAGTTCACTCCCTGTAGACCTATATGGACCCTGATCACAGAGCCAGGCGTACGCCTTGAGCACCTTCAGTGCTCAAGAATAAACTATCACCTCTGATCCCTGTTTCTGCCCCAGCCCAAGATGTCTCAGGAATGAACATCACCTCTGAGCCATGTCTCGAAAGCAGAGGCTGCAGGCCCACCCATGCCTGGATGCAGCAGCCTGGAAGAATCATTAGTCTGATGGACCTCTTGGCCCATCTGACAACCAACTTTGGCCTCTGCCTCTAATGATCAAGAAACAGACATTTCTGCTTTTCTAATGAAAAAAAAAATCAAAGCATCTAAGATTTGAGGATAATTACCCATTGGGCGGGCTGGAGTGATAGCACAGCAGTTGGGTGTTTGCCTTGCGTGCAGCCAGCCCGGCCCGAGCCGGGTTCGATTCTTCCGCCCCTCTTGGAGAACCCGGCAAGCTACCGACAGTATCTCACCTGCATGGCAAAGCCTGGCAAGCTCCCCGTGATGTATTCGATATGCCAGACACAGTAACAACAAGTTTCAAAATGGAGATGTTACTGGGCCCGCTCAAGCAAATCGAACAATGGAAGGACAGTGACAGTGACAGTGACTCATTGGGCACCTGAAGCTGTATTAGCAAGAAGTGAATCAGACTGGAAGCACTGACAGTTACAATTAAAAGTTTCCTTTTTAGGGGCTCGAGTGATAGTACAGCGGGTAGGGGGTCTGCCTTGCACGCAGCCAACATGGCCGACACAGGTTCGATTCCCAGCACCCCATATGGTCCCCTGAGCACCGCCAGGAGCAATTCCTGAGTGCATGAGCCAGGAGTAACCCCTGAGCATCGCAGGGTGTGACCCAAAAAGAAAAAAAAAGTTTCCTTTTTAAAAAACTGCCCTGGGGGCTGGAGCAACAGCACAGCGGATAGGGCGCTTGCCTTGCATGAGGCCGACCTGGGTTCGATTCCCAGCATCCCATATGGTCCCCCCCCCCCCCCCCAGCACCACCAGGAGTGATTCCTGAGTGCAGAGCCGGGAGGAACCCCTAAGCATTGCTGGGTGTGACCCCCCCAAAAAAAATACTGCCCTGATGAGCCAGAGCCTGAGAGAGAATACGGTGGGAAGGTGGGGTGCGTACCTTGCACATGGCTGACTGGGGTTTGAACGCGGCACCCATGTGGGCCCCTGAGCCTTGTCAGGAGTGATCCCAAAGTACAGAGCCAGGAGTAAGCCCTGAACACTGCCAGGTGAGGTCCAAAACCCAACCCCAACCCCACCCAACCCGAGGGCCTGGAGCCCCTCTTGGGCTCAGGGGTGCTGGGGGCCGGGTGGTACCAGGGAGCAGCCTGAGACACTCCAGCCTCTGACTCTGACACTGGGAAGTCAGATCTCCCCTTCCTCCCGCCAATGTGATCCTGCTCTGGGCCAGCAGGGAGTGGGCAGGACAGGGATTTCATTTCCACTGCTCCCGAGTCTTATCCCAAACACATGCAGTGAATCGACATCAGGACAGTGCAAATAAACGTGAACATGACTCACGCCATGGAAAGAATAACAAAAAGAAAAATTTTAACCTGATATAAAAACAGTGAGATTGTTAAGGATTTTTTTTTCCTATACAGCTGTTTATACAAAAAACAAGGTTAATGTTTTCAAAAAGTCTCCAATTCCATAAACTTTAGAAAGGATCTGAAAGCTCTCAGCAGGGGCCAGAGAAATATCTGGAGAACTTCAGGGCCTGGGCTGGGGTGTGCTCCAGCGGCAGAGCCCGGGCACAGCAGGGGCCTGGGACCCCCAAGTATGGGCGTGCCGCAGAGCCCAGGAAGGCAAGGAGGGTTCATTCAAGGACCCCCCCACTCAAGGATCACAGGGATCTCCGCACTAAAGAATCACTCAAGGATTTCCCACACTAAAGGATCACAAGGATCCCCACACTACAGGCAGCTCAGATAGTACCAAATAAAGGGTGTAGGAAGATCCGCCCAGAATGGGAGATGTGTGCTGAAAGACTATAGACCGAACATGATTGCCACTCAATGCCTCTGTTGCAAACCACAACACCCAAAAGGAGAGAGAGAACAAAAGGGAGTGCCCTACCACAGAGGCAGGGTGAGGTGGGGGGATGGGGGGTGGGAGGGATACTGGGATCATTGGTGGTGGAGAATGGGCACTGGTGGAGGGATGGGTACTCGATCATTGTATAATTGAAATCCAAGCACAAAAATTTGTAAGTCTACAACTGTACCTCATGGTATTTCACTAATAAAAAATAAAGAAATAAATAAAAGGAACACTGCACTGTCCTCCCGTTGTTCATCGATTTGCTCGAGCAGGCCCAGTAACGTCTCCATTGTGAGACTTCTTGTTACCGTGTTTGGTATTATCAAATACGCTACGGGGAGCTTGCCAGGTTTTGCCATGTGGGCGAGATACTCTCGGTAGCTTGCCGGGCTCTCCGAGAGGGGCAGAGGAATCAAACCTGGCTCGGCCAGGCTGGCCGCGTGCAAGGCAAACGCCCTATCCCTCCACATTAAAAAAAAAAAAAAAAGTATAGACAAAATCACCAAGAAATCTGTACTGATATATTTCTCTTTCATCACCAGATGTATCACTGCTATTTTGGGGAAGGACTGAGAAAGTATGACAAACTATTAAAAAACAAAAAAACAAAACAAAACAAAATAAAAAAGAACACCCCCCCCCACACACACACACACACTCAAGAATCACTCAAGGATCACCAAGCACAGCGGCACAGCCCCAGGGCACAGAAAGCTCCCAAGAAACAGTGGTAATAATAGGGAAACCTTAATCTCATCAGTGGGCAAGTGCAGACTGGTAAAGCAATTACCAGAGAACAGCCGAGGGAGGCTCTGGCTGGCTCGGTTCCTTATCTTGCCTTAAGCATCCTACCCACAGCGTAATCTTGATTTTACTAGGACAGTGAAGTCAGCGCCTCACTTCTTCCTTCCCTAACCACTTCAAGGAACATGCCCGTAAGCTCAGACCTGCTCTAAGTAGAGGCTAATTGTCTTCCCAGTTAACTGCCCGGGAAACAAAAGAGGTGGAGGGGGCCCAAGAAAGCCATGGGCCTCTGGCCAAGGTGCAGGGGTGGGGCCGGCAGAGCTGAAGTGGTGGTGGTGGTGGGGGTGGGGCTGCCTCTTCGGCCGGGCATGCCAGCAACTCTCGGACCGGGCCAGCGTCCGGAAGCAAAGCACACATCAGTGGCTTCCAACTTGCTACCCCTGTAGACGCACCGCAGCCTGGGGCCCGGTGAGGACCACCGGAGAAGTCACTCTCTCAGCCACCAAGCAGTCCCAAAGCTGATGGCCAGAGCCCCTCCCGAGAGGCAGGAACCCACGTGCCCTAAAGCCCCAGCCCAGAGAGGGCTGCACCCGCAGGCCCCTCAGAAGGAACAAAGGGCCAGACTACTGGGTTCACCCAGCAACGGGAGCGAACAGCGAACGGCTGGAGGGAAATCTGTAAAACCAACTTTGCCAAAGCCAAAGGTACCTTCTCCACTTCGGAATCACCTGCGCTCGCCAACTCCAAAACGTGGACTATGAAATGGGCACTGGTGGAGGGATGGGTACTTGATCATGGTATAATTGAAACCCAAGCACACAATTTGTAAGTCTACAACTGTACCTCATGGTGTCTCACTAATAAAAATTGAAAAAAAAAAAAAACCCAAAAAAACGCGGACTACGTGACTACGTGACTGCTGCATTCCCTCTCCTTCCCGTCCTTCCTCTCTATTCCCTCCTTCCTTTTCCCCTTCCTTCCCTCCCTTCCTTTTTCATTTATTTTACAAATCAGTAAAACTATTTTCCTTTGCTTCTTGTCCCCGGAAACTAAGGAAGCTTGGGGGCTGGGAACGGGTCCCTGATGCACAGGCGGCAGACCTCAGGGGCAGTGTAAGGCTGCCGGGAAGGGAGGAAGGACCCCCAGGTCTGCAAGGCCCTGCGCTGTGGCCTCCACCTGGCAGTGGGCCATCCCACCACCCGCCCCAGGCTCTTTAGCATCCTAAGCCTCAGGCATCTGCCATCCTGACTCCACCCAGCCATGCCCCAAGAGCGCGCAGCAAGAAGGCAGTGGCGGGCCAGAGCGGATAGCATCGTGGGTAGGGCATTTGCCATGCACGTGGCCAACCCGGGTTCAATCCCCAGCACCCCATATGGTTCCCCAAGTGCTGCCAGGCGTGATTCCTGGGTTCAGAGCCAGAAGTAACTTCTGAGCATCACTGGGTGTGACCCAAAAAGAAAAAAAAAAAAAGAGGGCAGTGGTGTTCTCACTCCACACGTTCTCTACGCAGGTTCTGACGTCTCAGGAGGTGCCGGGCAGCCGTCAGAGTGAGTCACTGCCGGACTCCATGGCTCTTCCCTTCACTGGAGGCTCTCGGCAGAGGCCAACCCGCCGTCCTACCCACACTCAAGGCTCCCCGGAGGACCAGCGGGGACAGAGGCAGTCAGGCACATGTCCCAGCCCAGCGACAGGGACGCCCCCCCACCCCCAGCATCCCAGGGCCCCACGGTGGTTCACTGCGACGGATGGCTCTGAGGGCGGGAGCGCCAGCCAGCGCACTTACCAAGAGAAACCACAGCCACGCTCTCGGGTAGGAAGTGTAATCGGTACCGGATCAGGAGATGCACCAATATGATGCAGATTGCTGTGGAGGAAATCAGATATCATCGTTATACAGGCCGGCTTTGCACGGCAGTCTCCGAGATCAAGGCGACAGGCGCGTCTCAGGTCACCGGGCAGAAGCATCATCTGTATGCCCGACCTTTTCTTTGTTGTTTTTGGTGGGCGGGGTGGGGGGGCACACACAACTGTGCTCAGGGCTGACTCCTGGCTCAGAGCTCAGGGGTCACTCCTGGAGGGTCTTGAGGGACCATATGGGATGCCGAGATTCAAATCTGGGCCGGCCACGTGCAAGGCAAGTGTCCTACCTGCTGTGCTACTGCTCGGGGCCCCCAACCTTTCCCACTTACCCTGAACAGAGTCTTCCTTGCACTTTCTCTAGCTCCCAGACGCTTGGGCATTGTTTTCAGTTTGGGAAGGGTCAACAGGACCTCAAATAGTAACCCCACCCCCACCCCCTTCAGTCCCCCGTCCCGGGCTCTCGGGCTTTACACGTTCATTTAATGTTTTCTCAAACGCCCATGATGCTGAGAAGTGGTGCTCAACATTTCAAAACTCTTCCTGAATAGGAAAGACTCTGAGTGGGACGGAGGAGGTCAATTCCTTCCAGGTGAACGTGGGCAGCGGTGCCTTGACCGCCGTGGCCACTCCCCGCCCCACACAGGAAGTGAGACTGCACCAATGCTCTGATGTGCTGGAAACACACCACGCCAGATGCAGGGCAGAGAGCACCAAGGAGGCACGGCATGACCCTGGCCCTGCACCGAGCTCCCTGAGCCCCGGCGGGAGGACTCCAGAGCACCACTGTGCATGAGCCCAAACAAACGCCCCAAACCCCATCAGATACTAAAGAAAGATAACCGGAGAGATAACCACAGTGGGTGAGGTGCTGCTTTGAATATGCGCAACGTGGGTACGATCCCTGGCACCCCACATAGTCCCCTGAGCCCACAGCCAGGGTATCCCTGAGCACAGAGCCAGCAGTCAGCTCTGAGCACTGCCGGGCGTGAGCCCTAAACCCAAACCAACAAAAACCAATGATGGGGTTCCCCCCCGTGAGTCTGGGGGCTCCCTGGAGACCAGCAGCACCCGAGCACTCACCTAACGCGAACCCCGACAGTCCTTACTTAGACCTGGTGGGACCCACTCTCCCCCTGTCTGAGGCTGAATAAAGTCGCAGCCCTGAGCCCTGCACCCTGGGCACCCAGTTTCCCTCCTCCCCTGCTGCCTTCACACCCAAAACAGGACGTGGGTTTCATTTCCCTCACAGGGCGCTGTCTCGAAGGAAACACAGCCAAACAACGAAAGGATGACTGTGAGAAAGCAAGGTGGGGGGGGGGGGCTGGAGCGATAGCACAGCGGGGAGGGCGTTTCCCTTGCATGCGGCCGATCCCGGTTCGATTCCCAGCAGCCCATAGGGTCCCCTGAGCACCGCCAGGAGTGATTCCTGAGTGCAGAGCCAGGAGTAACCCCTGTGCATCGCTGGGTGTGACCAAAAAAGGAAGGAAGCAAGCAGCACTGGGGGGACCCCCCTCTCGAGTGTAGTTGCCCCAACGCATGGCCGTACGAGGCTCCACAGCGGCCACCTGGCCCATCACCTAGGAGGGTTTCCTGGAAATCAGCGCTGCCTTTTCTCACCCAGGGATGAGTTTAAATGCGGCTCAAGGGCTCGGGAGATAGCCCAGAGGGGAGGGTCTGGACAGAGGGCTGAAAGCACACGAGGCCTGTGGGGGATGAGCATTCCACCCCCCAACACACACACACACACACACACACACACACACACGCACACACACAGCACAGCCTCCTGAAGGCCTTCGAGGTAGACCCGCCAGGCAGAGTCAGAAGCTCCTGAGCATCACCAGGTGTGATCCCCAATGCCAAAAGGAGGTCACGGTCACGGTCCTCCCGTTGTTCATCGATTTTGCTCGAGCGGGCCCAGTAACGTCTCCATCGTGAGACTTGTTGTTACTGTGTTTGGCATATTGAATACGTCACGAGTAGCTTGCCAGGCTCCGCCGAGTGACACGCAAATACAATGCCTGGGATAGAATGCCTGGTCTCTGTCCAGACCCTTCCCTCTGGGCTATCTCCCGAGCCCTTGAGCCTCGTTTACACTCATCCTGGGTGAGAAAAGGCAGCGCTGATTTCCAGCGAACCCTCCTGAGTGATGGGCCAGGTGGCCTGTAACATGACTATGAATGAAAGCAAATTACAGTACAACGGGAAAATAAGATAACGAACAAGGGCCGGCCAGCCGCAGGAGCAGAAATACTAAAGCCCTTCACACCGATAGGGACAGTTTGAAGGGACAGGCCTCGGGGATGCACTGGTGGTGCCCGGAAGTTAAGCAAAGAACAGCTTTAACCCAGCAACGCTGTGCCTGCTGCATCTCCAAGAGAAATCAAGGCTGCGGGCACACAAGTCACCATCTGTGCACAGCGCCACGACTGAGTAGCCAAAAGGTGGTGGTGACCCACATGGTGGCCGCGGAGGAACGCACAGAGAGTGGGACCCAAAGGACCAGGGTTCAGCCACGGAAAGAATCGCCATGCGACCGGGACAGCTGCTGGGGCTCCTCCCGGCGAGCCTCCCGCCCGTCTGGGCTGCAGGGCCCCGGGGAAAGCTTCGGGCCTGGCCTTGGATAGGGGTGAGTAGGCGCCAGGGGACCAGAGATCAACACAGGTTGGTGACCTTGCAATTATGGTGGCTGGGGCTTGAACCGTGGGAAGGCCGCACGGAAGGTACCTGTAAGGCTGACAGCTCTGCCTCTGCTTTAGATCACAAAGGTGCCACACCTGCAGGAAGCCCGCGGAGCCCACGGAGCCATAAGTCGGACCTTCCTCTGCCCCTGACTCTCACGCTTCGCGGGCACCGCGTTCCCTCTGCCCCTATGTAACTGTTGTTATCCCCAGTAAGCTTGGCCACCGACCCATCGGCCTGTGACCCACGCAGGTCTCTCTAGCCAATTCCTCACATACGGGTCTCTGAGCTATCAGCCTTTGACCCATAAACAGTCTCCGTGTTCCCAGGATTCCAGTAGCTGCGTGACAGCGACCAGCCACATGGATGAACCTTGAAAACGTGAAAAAGGGCTGGAGAGATAGCACCGCGGGTAGGGTGTTTGCCTTGCACGTGGCCGACCCGGGTTCGATTCCCAGCATCCCATAGGGTCCCCTGAACACCACCAGGAGTAACTCCTGAATGCATGAGCCAGGAGTTACCCCTGTGCATCGCCGGGTGTGACCCCAAAAAGCAAAAACAAAACAAAACAACAACAAAAAACCCAAAAAGAAAACGTGAAATGAAGGGCAAGAAGACAGAAAAGGCCACCGTTCGGAACCTGCATTTCTATGAAACATCAGGGTTGTCCGTGGCGGAGCCGGTGACCCACTGTACGCCTCACATGGCAAGGTGCATGCCCGCCTGCTGAAATGCACCCCCCGCTGGAACGTTAGAACAGGCCGACATCTAGAGACGAAAGCAGAACCGTACCTACCTGAGGCTGGGGGACTTGGGAGGCAGGGTTGGGCAGTGACCGTTTTTAGTAAGTAGTGGGTGTCCTCTTCTTCAGGGGCTGGGCAACACCCAGCAGTGTTCGGGGAATACTGCTCACTCTGCCTTCAGGGGTCACTACTGGCTAAGTGTGGGGACTCTTCTTGGCTCTATGCTCAGAGTGACCCCTTGGTGGTGCTCAGGGGCCATATGTCATGTATGTGTCCGATTGTGTGTGTATGTGTGGGGGGGCGGGTTACAAATCAGAACCAAGGTCAGCCTCGTGCAAAGTAAGTGCCTTAACCCCTGGTTATCTCTTTGGCCCTCCAGGGTTGGTTTCATCTTGGAGTGGTAAGAATGCTCTGGAATCAGCTAGGGACGATGGTTGCACACTGAAAACACTAAATGAATCCTACACTGTGGAGGCGGGTGTCTGGGGCTACTCCAGGCTCTGTGCTCAGGACTGAGCCCGGGTCATGCTCGGGGCACCCTACGTGGTCCCAGGGATTCAAACTTGGGTAGCAGACACTGCAGCTGTAAAGGGTTCCTTCCCTCCTGTACTACCTCTCCAGCCAGGAACTGTAAACTTTAAAACGGTTCAAATGGTAAATTTTTTATGTTTATGTTTATTTTATTTTTTCCCCATTTTTTTATAATTTTATTTATTAAATCACTGTGAGAACGAAAGCTTTCAAAGCTACAAAGTTACAAAGCTTTCAGATTTAAGTCTCGGTCATACTGTTATGTTTATTTTACCATTCTTTGAGATAGATTAAAAAAAACGATGTCTCAGATATTCTGAGATAAAAAAAAAAGGGCAAGTTACAGGGGCTGGAGAGACAGTACAGTGGGTAAGGCACTTGTCATGGGTTCCATCCCTGGCATATGGTCCCCTGACTATGGCCGCAAGTGATCCCTGAGCACAGAGCCAGGAATAAACCTGGAGCAAAATGGGTGTGGCCCCAAACCAACCCCCCCAAGAGGGGCAGATTACATTTATAGAAAAGCAAATACCTATATGTATGTGTATACACAATTTTTCACATGTATGTTTGTATATGTGTGTGTGTGTGTGTGTGCGCGTACATACCTACAAGTATAGGTATTTTCCAAGTACCCATAGACACAGCAAGAAGAGATTTAAAAACTACTGTGTGGTATGCCACAAGACAACACACATCTAGTTTTTCACACTGGAAGTAATCATTATGGAAAACTTGTTAAAGCACACATGTACCCTATTAATAACTCCATTTAAGTTAATAGCTCATAACTGCCTATGTTTAAATGATGCTGACTGGTAACTGGAATGCAAGTCACTGGCACTGATGCCAAGTAGGCCCTGCGGGGATAAAGGTCACCCAGGCTGGACACACAGTGGCTTCAAGTTTCTCCAAGCCAAAGCAACTAGACTTTGGGTGCCCCTTCTCAACGAAAGGGGACGCTTTTGATGGCCAACGAGAGGCCAAAGTAACAGTTTCATTTGTTGCAACTAAAATAGTGAACAAAAGCATAATGGGCCGGAGCACA